GCCATAGGAGGTATTTGTTTTCGTTTCGTTTTCAGTGTTTATTTATTTTATGGCCCTTTTTTCCGCTGAAGTTTCAAAACAACAACCAAAAAAAAAACCGACGACAACACCAAAAACAAGCTAAAAAAGAAAACCAAAAATGTTTTCCAATTTCGTGGAAACGGCAGACAGAAGACAGGCAGAGAGACCTCGATGAACGGCTGACTGAGTGACAACAACGTTGGTTTTGGGGGGTGGCTGGCGAGCAGGATAGGGGTTAAGAGGGCGATAGGCGGAAATTTCGGGTCTGGCGGAGTATATTAAAAGCCAAAAAGTTAATGAAGCGTTAGGCGCTGCAGACGTAGCCGCAATAAAGCGGTCCAAACAGCATAAAACAGCAAAAGAGCAGGAAATTTATTTATTACTTTGCTATTTCCGCCCGGCCACGTCCCTTAACTTGGCTATTTAAACAAAACAAAAACAAAACCCCAAAAAAATAAAACCAAAAGCGAGAAGCATTTCAAGTTGCTACTTCAAGTTTTGTGTTTTTTTTTTTTTGTTTTTTGCGTGCTCCTTCTGTCAGGACACGCGCAGCTGTTGATTTTAAATTGTTGTTCTCCTTGTTGGCTGTGGTTTTGTCAGCTTTTCCAGCTTTTCCCGCTTTTCTCACACCGGGTTCTTTGTTTCTCTGTGTAATAGTAAGGGTGTAAGAGTAAGTGAGTGTGTGAGTAAAGCGGGAGGACTCGCTTTGGGCCATTGTCTTTGGCACTTGCCTCTAAGCGGCTACTTGAGCAGTGAAACCGGCACGAGGAGCATTTGCATTTTACTTCTGCTTTCACTTATTCTTTTTTTTTGCAATTTTTTATTCTTGTACGGGTGTTGGCTTTCATTTTTCAAGATTTTTTTTTTGTTTTTTTGCTGCAGCAAATGCCGCAGAATGCTTGTCAGCAATTTGTCATCCTCCACAGCTCGTCCTCCCACTTATTTGTTCCGCTCTGCAGCAGCAGGACAATGAGCCATTTTTGTTGCTTTCCCCGCGTAAAGTTGAATTGCAATTAAAAAGCAGTTCAAACAAGTCGATATCGAAGTTAATTTGACGATTAAACAAAGAGGAAGATGTAATTGCAGCAGTAAGGGGCAGATTAATGAACTTTTAAGTTGAAATTTTGCTTATTTTTTTTGGTAAATTAAAACTAATTAAGGAATTTAAGTTGATTGATGGTTTTTAAGGCATAAATATATAACTATAAAATGCCCAGGCTATGCTTTGTACCTAAAATATATTTAATATACGCATGTTAAAATGTTTAAAGAATGCTTCTATCAATTGAATATAAAATACGAATCTCCTCTGAACAAATTAAAGCTTCTAAGATAAAAGTAAAGGAAAGCAAATCAGCATTTATCTTCTGTTATGAAGATGAGCCTGTGATCCTGTGATGGTTGATGTCGCAGCCCGCTTTATTTATTGACTGTTAAACTTTTCATTAGCCATTTCGTTTAATTCGCACACAATGGCGTGAGATTGAAGAGGGCACTGAAGAGGGCCAAGGAGAGCTGCGGGGACTAAGGGTATAAACCCAACAATGGCGAGGAGAAAATGGCAGCGGATATACGCAGCATCACAAACAAACAACCAGCGGCACTAAGTATAATGTATTTGTGTTGAAAGGCAACCACAGTGGCAGCTTTATTGCCAGTGTGTGGGTGTTTTTGTATGTGTGTGAATCAAAGATACAATCAGTGCGCAATTGTCTGCGTTGATGAGCAGCAGGATCTGGGAGTAGCCCATTCTTAGACCTACCAATTCCCAAGCCTTGGCCCATACAATATTTGCTCATCTGTTTCGCTTTTTGCTCCTTCTTTTTATCTTTCTCTTTTTTTATGACAAAAAATGCCTCGTAATCACAATGATAATCATCACACATCTGAAATACCAATGGGAACTTCACGAAATTCATATAATTTCTATTATTATTGGGCTGAATGAAGAGCTTTTTATGCTGGTCATGATTGAGTTTGAGATACAGAATTTGAAATACACTCATGAAGTTTAAAATCATTGAATTTAACATCAATGTTATATGGAGAACTAATCATAATTTCAATTCACTTGATAAAATACATTATTTTCATATCAGGATGTTTAGTACATTTGGTGAGCCATCCTATAAAACCATCAAAAACATTCCAACTTTAATTAAAATTTGATTTATTTTACTTTCATATGGTAATTATTTGAGAATTTATTTCTCTTTTAATTTTTATTACCCACAATAATGTTCTTTAATGTTAAGCGAACTCTGCCGCTAAATTAAATTAGATTTCAGTTGCAGTTTAACTGAATTTCTGTAAAATTCATGCATTTTGATTTAACATAATCGAAACGGGCAGCCAGAAATGATTTCCAGTGCTGATGTTTGGCCATAATCATCTGTATAGTTGATGTGTAAAATTGGTAAACCTATTGATTTGCAAATGAGTAGAACATCATTTGAATATCGTCTCTAATTAGATTCCACATCCAATTCTCGTACACAGCATGCAAATTCTGCAAACATAACTTCCAATATGAACTGTGGATTATTAGTACATAACAAGGATCATGTGCCGTTCTCATTTGCAAAATTCTAAACAATGAATCGCATTTTCCTTGTTTTCCACAATTCAACAGAACTTAACCTGCTTTCCTGCTCCGCTGAGCCGCAAGTATTTTAAGCGCATTTTCTTCGTGTTCCCTTTAAGGCGACAACTTTTGGTATTTCAAATGCGAAACTTGGGGAAATAGCAAACAATTTACAGCAAAATATACTCGCCTTGCAATGTATTCTATTTAATGCTCACACTAACAATGCCTCTGTATTCATGTATGTATGTATGTATGGGTGTGCATGTATTATTTGTGCTAAAAACGTCGGCAAGCTGACAGCATGATGCCAGTCAGCCAGCGATGGCCCGCATAAGTATGCTACAACATTATGTGTATGTGTGGAGTCTAGAAGAATACTCACACACATGCCTCTAGCTTACTTACACTCATGCAGAGCAGAACAGACAGGACTTAAACAAGCATTCGAGTAGTGTGACATATTACAACACCCCCATTTTTCCACCCATTTCGCCTCTATTGCAGTCCGCAGACCTTTAAGCGAAACTGAAACCGAAGCCTTCATCTATTTAGATGGCAAATGTCGGTGCGAGTTTTTCCCATACATATATATATTTTTGTGCAGAAGAAACTATCCACTAGAAAAAATATTTAAGTTAAAAATTTTCTTTTAAAAAAGATAAATAAATTAAATAAATTACTATTTTTGAACTTTTTTATGGCCTTTTATTCAAAAACAAAACAAAAATGGTGTCAAAGCTACCTTTTCCTCCTCATTTACCACATCCTTACATAAATATTTACCATTTGCAGTTTTTAGCTGAACATTAAATGTTTACCCGAGTGCAGCATTTCAGTGCTGCACCCACAAAAACCGCCTGATGACGCCACATTCAAGTGATTCTTTGTGTGCCACAATATTTTATTTATTTATTTTTTTAAGAAATGTGTCAATTTAATGGCTTTGCTTTATGGGCGTGGTAGATTTGAAAATGGGACTGTCCACCCACGCAAGAATGCATTTTCCCACAATTTTCTACTCTCTGTTGATATTTCATTCTCTTTTTTGTGGTCATTGCTGTGGTCGATGGGTAGAAAAAAAAACAATATAGTAAAATAGAATTTATACTATGATGATGCAATTGCAATTGCATTGTTAATTTTGCAAAGTGCGGTTAACCGAGCGGGAAAAATATGTTGCCAGCAATAAAATTAACCCGCTTTGTATGGGTTAAAGTGCTCCCCGTAAAAAACATGCCTGAGTGACTGACAACAAAAAAAAAAAATGGCTTAGAATTTATTTTAAATGTAATTGAAAACGTGCAAAAAATACCTTTCTGTAAGCTGAAAAATAAAAGAAAAAAACAAGGAAAAATATACCATGGGACTTTATTCTTAATCGCCCCTCTCACATTGCCCATTAACGGAATCATAAATTATTAACTAGGCACGAAAATCTGCAGCTGGATAAATGCTCTCAGCCAGAAAAGTGCGCTCAAGCAGACAAGGGCCCAACTCGAGGGAGGCTTTCATATCATATATGGTATATATATCCCCAAAAAAAGCACATCCATACACATGAGAATAATGTTCATGATGACGATGATGATGATGGAGATGGTCCCGATGACGATGCTGATAATGAAGCGTACAACTCAAAGCCAGAGCACAGTTATTTACATGAAAGTACATACAGAAACTCAGACTAAAATTGAACGACACTCACACTCACTAGAATCAACATTTCCTGTTGTAATACACACAAATTGTGAACAATTTTACTAGTTCTATTTTGTTTTTTTCTCATTTATTCCTTTTCATATTGTTGGCAAGGATAACAGATCCCGTATCGCTTCCATTGTTTTGCCAGGCGTAATCACAACAATGCCCAAAATAATGACGGAAGTACATGGGTACTATCCTGGCCCAATATCCTGTCCAACAAAAACTACCGCCCAAGTGAGCAATATTGGATTGAATGTCGGTGTACGAGTATTTCTATGGCAATACAAATATGCTGAATATATTAAATCAACAGGATGTGCTACGTGATTTGGCAAGGCCCAAGATAAATACAAACAAGAGTCAAGCCAACTGTGAGCCACATAAGTTTGGAAAGTTGAAACCAAATGTTAGTTAGGAAAGCCATGAAAAGAAACTTAAAACCTTTTATGTGGATTTTTTATAACCAAAAAGGTAATGAAGCATTTCTAGTCATTTGACTCTATAGTTTTTGCCTGTTTTCATTTTGTGTGGGAAACGTTCTGCTGCTCCAATTAAAATTTCTTCATTAAATTGCAAAAATATATTTTAAATACTTTTATTTTTGATTTTAATACATTTGGGACATCAAAGGTCCATTACATAGTTTAACTATCCTAGTAATTTCTGTTTAATTTAAACTCAAACTCACCTTATTCCGCCCACATTGAGTATAATCCGATTTTCGCCATCCATGTTGCATGCAACAGTTGTGGCAACAGCAGCCGCATGCCAAACTAATTCTTTGATGGCCCGCCAGCAAATCGAACAAGAACTGCAACACCTCTCGAATAGCTTTTCACGTGTTGTAAGCTTTATATTTTAACCAAAAAAGCTGCCACAAAAATATATGTGGATGTTCTCGCGTTCAACACGGCGTATGAGCAATCTGCAGCCTTGGCGTAATACTTTTTAATTAGACTTGGGCTCAGGTTGCACTTCCTCCTCCAACTACTCTTAGCTCTTCGCTCAGCACTCATTCACAGGTCACAGTTTGTTCTGCACTTTGCATTTGGTGGCTTTGGGTTTATGGTTTTAACTTGTCCTATCTGCATCGTCTCCTTCCAACGTCATTTTCCACTTCTGGCCCTAGGCGTCTCGTTTGTCCTTTGACTGGAAATAAAAACGAAACAAAATGGATACCAAGGACTTTAGTCGAGTAATATGCATACCGAGATTGGGTTAATATCTGTGCAGTAATGCGTTATGTGCCCTTAAGATATATTCGCTTATGTAGATGTAAATACATTTTATATAAAGTGCATTAGATGTGTATGCAAATCCCCGATGCGCAAAGTGCGCCAGCTTCAAAACTATTTTCCTTTGACAAACGCAAATTTAATTATATATTTTTAGTGCAAGGAATTTCTCAAGTATTTTCTCAAGGAAAGAGCTATTAGAGGTTGGTATTTTAGTTGCAAAGTGGTTGACATTGTTGTGTGTTTAAAAATTGTTGGTTTGAATGAAGATAATGAGAGAACTCTAGACTTTAAGATTTCCAAAAATCTGTCTGAATTATAGTTGAACTTAAACTTTATCCCTGGAGCGAGTTTACACCTTTAAATGACAAGACAATAAGACCAATATTATGATGGAAACTATTTGTAGATGATAGCTGCCCAGAGTTAAGCTACTTACTTGCAATTTATCTCCAAAACTTATTCACAAATAATTTATTTTATTAATTTTCATAAATACAACCTTATAAACCTTAAAAATACCTCCACAATCGTTTACTTAAGAAAAAACGATAAAGCAACCTTAAATTTTTAAAATGTAATATAGAAAAAACACATCTTTTGATGAAAGACGCGACTCATCGTTTCACTTTGTCAAATACCGGGAAGAGGCAGCTGAAAAGCCTGATATAAATAACATATACGCCACGTAAAAGCCTGAGGAAATTTTCAAAATTACGAATGAAGCGAAAAAAAAAACACAATACAAAAAGAAAAGTGAAAGTTAACGTTCAAGGAAGTCAAGGAAAACGTTAGGCCTCATCACTGCGGCAGTTTAATGGCCCAATGATGTGGCCAGATATGGAGACAGACTTGCATTGGAAATTCCTATACATATATATACTATATATAGTAGGTTCAGTTTTTTCTTTCTTTTCCCTCTTTCATTTCGGTCGCTTTGGCTGAGTATGCAAATTTTTTACTTGGCCGCACTTTAGCAGCATTTGGGCCAAGACCCGGGAGGAGCAAGCCGGGGCCATGTGTTCGCTGTCAAAATGACAAAATGTTGGTTAAGTGCGACGAGAGCGCAGAGAAGTCAAAAGGAAGAGTACGAGGGTAAGAGTGAAACAGAGAAGAGGTAGTGACAAGACCACTCCACCGATCAACTGACTGAGTGACTGACTATATAAAAAGGACACTCAACGGGAAATACGGCTTGCAGTCGGAATGAGATTCCGAGTGAGCAGCTGGGGCCAGCATCAAGTGCGTCATCAATCTCGGCGGCGTTTAGAGAGACTTTCCATTCATTAAGTGGCTGCCGCCGCCGAGGATTGACAGGAGCAGCTCCTCATCGCTGAGTGCTTTCAGTTCGCGCTTTGTCTTTGGGTTTTGGTTTCCTCCATCCTCCATCCTCCATCCTCTCACCCTCAATCCCACCATCCCTGTACCTCACGGCTGCACCGCCTGTTAGTGGCACTTCTCAGTCTCAGTCTCCGCCTCCAAGGACCAAAACCAAGGACCAGGGATCCACCGATTTTCCCCGAAATCAATCATTTGCTCAACGAGGCCCGGCATGTTCGAAGACGGGTCCTATCAGGTCCTTTGCTCGTTTCCCTTAGAGTCTTATGCCCAAATGTGTGTTAAAGTGAATAATAAGTTTTTGCCAATTTCGTGTTCTGATGGAAGCGATTTGTTTAACTGCCTTCGGGGAATGTCAACTGTTATTTGGTGAAGGGTATTGTTTAACAATCGGAAAAGCTAAGGGAAAGTGCTGGTTAAATTGGGCTTTTTAAATTTTCAAGCAGATCTTTAAGTTTGACAGTGAGATATGTATTTGTTTCAAAAGGAAACCCAAACTAGTTTTCATATATTTGATGTCTTAAAAAAATCTATATTCCTCAATTCCTCATAAACTTCTATACTTTGAGTTTCAACCATAAAATTTTTATAAATTCCAACTCTCTGTGAAAAATTTAATTTGGCGAGTGCAAACAAAGCTTATCAATAAAGCAAAAATAAATGGCCTGAATAAATGGAAAGTTTGCGTTACACGAATTTCCCATTTTAATTGCATAAACGCAACGTCACTCATACGCCACATTAACCCAACTGTTTAAAGCAACTCTTTTTCACAGCGGAAAAAAGCAAAAACAAAAAAACAATGAAAAACCCAACTAAAATGGAGCAATGAAAATGGACGCAGATAACGCTGACTCCGAGTCGAAATCTGAATCAAATTCCGACTGTGGGTTAGTGCCATCGGGAGAAGCAAGGAAAATTCGAAACAATGCTGCCCACAGGCCAATCGAAAAAAAAATACACTAAAGTCATTCCAAAAAGGGAGGGGGAGAGGAAAAGTTTTGCTGAAAACAAAACTACGGAAAAACTAAATAGAAAAACTTTCGGGTCAAACAAAACGTTTCCCTTTCTTTCTTGCTGCAGAAATAATGTGCAAATGAAGAGTGCAGAAAATGGCAACACACACAGACCCATAAATCGAGTTGCGTTTCCCTTGTAAATTAGAGATGCAAGAGGTCCCGACGCCCGACGATTCTGGTGATGATGGAGAAAATCAATGGCCAGGAAGCGGGCTCCTTCGGCGTCGCGGGAAAACTATTGCGGACAAGGTCAGCCCCAGCTCAGCTCAGCCCACTGTACAATTGTCCAGAACGGAAATAGACAGAGCCAAGAGCCAAAAATGAGGGTAAGCTTGAAGGGAAGTTGGGAGGTAAACATTTGGAGAAGGAAAAAAAAGGAATCTTCTCTGTTCCTAATATCGAAAAAAAAAGTTTTTAAGGCAAATCCTTTCATCTTATCTTAAGAATAAGCTTTAAATTTTACTGTACTATTATTTTACTATTTAAATTTGAAAGTTATTAGATTTGATTTTCATTTTATAATTTTATCTATATTATATACATTATATATATATATATATATCTCTATAAAGTTAGTTTAAAAGCCACTACCATTCCATAAAAGGGTATATAAAAACTGATTGCAAGGCTCGTACTAAATGAGAAGAAAAACTCTATCTGACTTGTTTGCTGGCAGGCAAAATGCAGCCAAATGACAAACAATCTAGCTTCAGTCTATTGTTTGTAACTGTCTGCCTTGGAATGCATTATTTATCAGTTTCAAACAAAAGTTACTTAAGTAAAAATATTGTGAAAAAGTTTGCAAACTAAAATAGACAAGTTTGAAAATAAAAGAAGACATTCGAACTCACTTTGGATAGGTAAAGTTAAGTGAGTAGTTTTTGAATAAAGGTATATATTTAAATAAATTTTAAATCTATAAAAGTTAAACTTTGATACATCAGGTGATAGGCAAATTGCCCGTTTCTTCATCAGTATACAAAAATCGTACAACAAAGGATGCCTGATCAGAACAACAAGCGAGGCCCTCAATAATCCGACAACGGAGCAAAAAAAGAGCATTGGCCCATGATAATAGCAAAAAAATTCCATAATTCGTTTGTTTGACCAACTCCACAGCATCCTGGAGGAGAACAAAGGGAAGGACCAAACGTAATCGCAAAAACATTGGCCAAGGCAAAAACCGACTCAGCAAATGGGGCGCCTAAGTAGATGTTTCATGGGACACCAAGGGGGGAAAATCGTGAAAAATCGAATTATGAATACGCTGAGACAGGGAAGGAAGAAAAGCAAAGGGAGAGACATAGGGTGGCAACGTCATGCAGCGCATTTGAAATCATTGGCCTGTACTGAATGGGATTATCCTCAGAGTGTTTGTTTGTTGTGCTGCTGCTTTCGCTTGCTTTTAGCCCGAAAAATATGATTACTATTTGGCAGCAGCTCCAACTTTATGGCACTCAAATGCCACGCCCTCTGAAAGAGTGGGGAGATTGGCGTGGGTGTGGCTGCTTCCTGGATATTTCTCCTACCATCCTTTTGTTAGGCATTAAATAATAGACCATAAGAAATTGAATTGTAATTTATGCCATTTATTATTCCTACACAGCCCAAGCCCAAGCCGTTTCGTATGCATGTGAAATATGTTTGACAGATGCATAAATAATTAGTGGGAGGAAAGCAGGGAGAAAGGTTTATTACGGGGGTGTTAAGAAAATACAATATTTATAGAAGAAACACAGAAGAATTAAGCAAATTTATGTACTCTACTGCAGTCAAAGGAAATGAACAAGTTTTTTTCTTGAAGCGATTATTTATAAGTTAAATCTGTTTTCAAGCCATAAAGAAAACTATCCCCTTAAAACTAAACGCAAGTCTCTTAAACTAAAATCAATAACCATTTATTTATGAATCAAACGAAATTTAAACATAATTCTCTAAAGTAAACATTAAATATAATCCAAAAAGGCCAATGAAAAACTCACTCTTTAAACTCCCCACAATGACAAATGTATCAATTGAAGAAAACTTGCCACAATCATTTCTCTCATGAAAATTCAGTTGTAAAACGTTTTCGCAGAGACCACTCATCGATAAATACTTTGAAGTAAAAAAAAGAACTAGAAAAACGAAATCATAGCATAAAGATTTATTATCGACATCCGCAGCAGCTGTCAGCATAGAGTGAAATTTATGTTTTTCCTTTTGATTTTCCACCCGATACTCAAACTTACTTTGCTTTTTATATATATATTTTTGTGGGAAACCATCGCATCAGTCACCGCTCATTGGCAGTTATGACCCGACTCCACTTCACAGCGTTTTTATTTTTGCCTAACTTTTTGAAAATCTCTTCAACTACCTAGGAGTTCTTCAACAGGATGGCCTAGAAATAGCAATGTTTTCACATAACCAACATTCACGTATAAAACTTATTTTAGTGCTTGCTTTTCTGCGAAAATCCCCACCATTACTCTTCCTCAGCTATTCCTTGTTGAATGCAAAAGTAAAACTAGAGAATTTTCCCTTTTTTTCGTGATGTTTGACATGTAAAAATATTTGAACTAAGCCAGCCAAAATGGAGGGGCGAACTATGTGTGTCTGAGAGGAACTATTTTCTTTTCATTTTCCATTGCCGGCACAGCACTTATGATATATAATAGACCATGGATTTCACATAAATTATGTGAGTTGCAATATACAGAGAGAGAGCGAGAGAGATACTGGCAGTGCTCTTGAAGCGACCTATTTATACTGCTGGCATTGGAATATTGAAAAATATTTCATTACATTCTACCATTGGAATATCGCAATTTGCTCGGCTGGCAAAAGTATGCTTAGTTTTTGCTTCTGTTTCTGGTTCGCCGAATGTCCCTGCTGGCCTTTAATTAAAAGCAAACATGTTTGCCTGCAAACCCAAGGCAAACATACCAGACTCTCCCTCCGCCCACTCACCAGCCGTACATTTTATTTGCCATAAAGTAAATGTTTTACAGACTTAAATTACATTTTCGGCAGGGACTTGCCCATGACCATTTCCTCACCTTTGTCTTTTGTGTGTGTGTATTTTGCATCACGTGTCGAGATTTCAGCTTAAATAATTTGTTTTCCGTCGGAAAATCATGTTTTGGATTTTGTTAAATTGTTTACACAAGCCCTGCTCTCAGTGCTGTGCTTTATGTAAAACCGATTTTATGGTTTAGCCATATAAACATATAAATTAAAAATAAACCGCAGTCCTTGATTGAAGCTGCGGTAATGCAATTTCAAGGTTCAATAGCTTGTTAAAGTAATTAAGAGTCAATATTTTGACAAAGCTGTTTTAATTTATGTTTATTTGTTTAAAAAAAGATATTTTCTGAGAAAAATAATGAAAGATACCACCACTTTTACGTAACTCCCTTCGAAATGATCTGTGAACTGATTGCTTCTTGTCGCCTGCTATCATCAACCCTATCATTTCCTGACATAGTTTCCATATAACTACTCGCAACTTGGGAATTCTTATCAAGCCCACATTAAGTCATGCGGAATGTGGCAATCAGACCGCAAAAGAGTCTTCGATGAGATCACGAGCACATGACAAATGCGCTGAAGTTAGATGCATGGAAACGCATTTCTCTTAGGGCGACACGGCTTTCACATACTTAAGGAAAACTCGGTTATGTGATGACGTCAATGGCGGGTTGTTTAATTAAATTTTCAAAGTATTTTTCATGCTCTTAATTGTGTCAACGTCACTGCCAGAGAATTCGAGGTGGTGGACAGAGATGGGTTGGGAAAAATGCAGCAAGGCCGACGCTGTCATTAAGCGCAGCTTCCGCAGGAGCAAAAGAAGTGGGTGGAGCCCCGGAAAGTAGGCTACACAAGTCAGTAGGTCACAGACATGAAAGCAGCAGCACCAGCACCAGCATGCTGCTGCAGCAGCGATAGCAGCTGTTGTCGATGACAGGCCCCCAGCTCCTTTTTCGTTGCCCATAGGCATTTCGAGGTCCTTTTCCCCCCAACCCACTTCGCATCCTCATGAAGGGGGAAGTCTTCCGGTTGATGGCCGCCTGTCCCCGCAGGCAGCCCAAAGGAAACATTTTTCTAGCCACTCTTCCCATGGCATTTTCTTGGAATTTCATTGCAAATATTTTTGGGGTCATTTTGCTAACCACTTTCTATCCAGCCAAGGGGAAACTTTACCTTTAGTGGCATTTTTCAAAAACCTGTTGGCCAATATCTTGAGTTTATGCTGTCAGCGAAAAAATCAAGGCGGATGGAACTTTTCCATTTAGGCAAGTTTATCCCCGTTCTTTATTAATAAAGGTCTTGAAAGTTCTTGCGGCTTACTTCTAGATTTGCTCTTAGCATAAATTAATTGGCAAAACTTGCGTATTTGAGCAAAACTTTCTCTTAAAATTGTTAATATATATGCAAGTGAGTGAAGAAAAAAAAATTAATTAAAAAAACAAAATTTAATTAAGTTTCCTTTTTGAAAAAATGAAGAACAGAAGGGAATGCATTGATTTTTAAATATTTAAAAATAAAATTCAGGTGATAAAATTCTTATTTTAATTAAGATAAATCACGTAAACATAAATCAAAGAGAAAACTAAATGGATAAAGTAAGTGACATCCAGGGCGATACGCGCCAAAAAATTAATGGAGTTTGTCAATAGCCATTTAAAAGGAAATTTACATCCGCGACTTAAACTGAAATAAAAACCAATAGGAAGATTAAAAATGAAAGCCCCAAATTATCTGTAACTCGTTGATTAAAAATGTATTGATTAAATATTAAAGTTTTGAATTTAAATTTGTCTTTCTTTCTTCTACTTTTTTTTAGGTCAATAACCTAAGTAAGTTGAACTAAAAACCAAAGGCAGCCCCAATTCCAGCTAGTGCCTTCCCTACAATTAGAATTTTATTTGTTTGCGAGTCATTTTCCAATTTAAACATAAATTATTCATATTGTGTATACGCCCCGTTTGCCATAGAGCAACACTTCTTGCTGGCGCACTCTGAAGGATAAAGCGAGATAGAAACCAAAGGCGAATGACAGTTCGATAAAGCAAAATTACATGCCAGTGACGACAATGACAATTGCGAAATTATAAAGCAGGCGAAAAGCCATTAAAGGACATCGCCGTAAAGGACATCGCCAGTGTTAGCGAAACACAGTCCTCAGATTCTCATTGTCCGCTGCATTAAGCTCACGACGTGCAATAATCTGAACAATTGTAGTTTATGCCTTAATTTTTGTTTCCGTACATGTTTTATGACCAATCCGTCTCGCTCCTGGCCCCCCTTGTGTGTCTTTCCATCTCCCTCTGTCGCCTTAATTACATTTCTCGGGACTGCTTCACTCTTCTGTGGTTGTCTCCTGCTTTGTTTTATATCCTTTTTCAGTAATTTACTCTCCCCATTTGAATGCCGCTGACGTCTGCTTTACACAGGAAAAAGTGTTATGGCTTTTAAAGGATTATATTGTAACTAAGGAAGTATAATATGTTTTAGTGAAAGTTGAGGAAAATATTCGTTGCCTTTGTTTAAGGATGAACATTGATTATGTCTCTAAGAAAGGTCTCTTCAAAATCTATCTTTATAGGCATTTTAACCATCACGTAGTACCCTCATGTCCCGAATGTATATCACACTTTCTTACCGTGTACTAGTACCACCTTTTTGTGTGCCTGTTTACTTATCTAGCAGTGTGGATAAGTTGGTAGTTAAGTAGTCTAGGTTATTTCATTCTTGTTCTTGGTAGCGCCTCATAACTCAATTACAATGCATAAAGGATTTTCATTGCTGGCACGCATCTCGCATAAAGCGGAAAACTTTGATGAATGTGAAGAAAGTTAACTGGCATTTCTTGGTGGCTTTTTACAGCTTTTGTTTTCTTTTTTTTTTTTTTCGTTCAACACTTGCGACTATTTTGTGTTTATGTTTATTGGTCTTGGTGTCTGCCTGCTTGGTCCACACATAAAATGTCACCAAAGTTGACAGTAAACAAAAAAGTTTTCGGCACTGCAAAAGTGTCTCGCAAATGTATCATGGGCATTGGGCCAATCTGAAAAGGCCATAAATTAAACCTTTTTCTGTAGCTGGCCAGCACCAAAAAAGAAAAACTAAAATAAAATAAAAAAGGCATGTACAGCGAAACAGTGAAAGCGGAAAATTTTCCCAGCTGAAACTAAAAGACAAAGAAATATTTTAAATTTTGGTGCGTTAAATAAACTATCAGTTTTATTTTTTATCATTTAATGATGTGTAAATTTGTAAATTTATAAATCTGTTGACTTTATTATAATAAAAATATTTCTTCTTTTCAATATTTCGATTTAACTCCTTAAAATTACATAACGTTTATCTAAATAAGTTCGCAATTTCCTTATCATTACCCCATAAAATATATTTAATTGCCTGGTTATCATTTTGCTAATTCCAAGTTGCCATAACTAGACCACCATTACTATAGATAATCTCTGCCTGGAAAGTTGAGCTCATTGGAGACCGAAAATAAATTCAAGTCGGCACAAAGGGCCACCTACATTTTGGCTGATTTATTTTATGGCTCCCAGGGTAGTGGGACAAAAACCGAAACAGCAGCAACTAAAAGTATTCCAAGGGATGACATTAAGGGTCCGGGTCAGGAAAACAAAGTCGACAGTTTGCCCCCAAAAAAAAGAGTGGAACTTCAAAACAAACTAGACAAACTTACCTATAACAAGTCCAGGGCGGCTGTTTTTTAATCCTTTCCGGCAAACTTTCAACTTAAATCAGAAGCGGCAGCAGATTTGTGACTTTTTATCGTATTTTTTGTATTTTATTTTCGTAAGACTTTTTGGCCGCACTTTAACACTTCGGGAAGACGGGGAACCTGTTAGTCCCAAGGACACCGTCTCCACACCTTCACCCTCACTCACACAACGATAAACGCGGCACTGACATATTGACACATTCCCAGCATTCCACAGATCCTGCCGACTATCCGTTTGCCCATTCAGGCACTAACCGTTCGATTGCTGGCACACTAAACAGTAACCAATTAACCATTTAACCAGGTCCGATCCGAGGCTTTTCCAGCTGGTTCTTGCCGCACGCACGTCCACAAGCGAACTGAAACCGAAACCAATAACGGAAAACTGAACGCAGCGCGCAGCCTGCCAAAAGGACATGCCGTAGTACTATACGTAGTAGGCCGCGTGGGCTACTCGCCTTCGGGCCCTCGTGCCCCATGAGCTCTCGGGGAGCCTTCGCGAGGACCATTAACAGGATGCTGCCGGATGAAGTTGCCGAAATGCAGAGAGAGAGCGGAGCTTTTACCTCTCAATCTCATTGCCATGTGTGGTGAATAAAGTTCGGCCATGCACTGAGCAGAATTTTTAAAGATAATTGTGGGTTTTTATATTTGATTTAAATTAACATGTTTTACTTTATTTAATAATTACAAATTATTCTTAAATTATTACAAATTATAATACTAAAACTAGTGGGCACTTAATATTTAACACTAAAAAATTAAAAAATTACCTATTTAGATGCTTTTTTTTTATTTAAAAATTCAATTTACGACTTCGTTTCTGTCATTACTTCATATTCCATCTATTTTAAATATAATAAAAAATGTTACTCAATGAAATCTTAATAAAAAACTTCAAAAAACTCAGTCTCCGTGAGTAAGTTACATCAATTGGATGAATAAAAACTACATTAAAAAGTTTTATTATATATAATTGAGTTTACGACCCTCTTTCTGACATCAAAAACTACCAATAATAAATGATAGTTTATAACCTTTTTTTGTCTTTGAAAAGTTTTTTAAGCTTTTCCATATCAGTAAAAAAACCAGATATATATTAGCTCTAACATCTATAAACAAGTTCAATAAACTGTGCGTAATAATGCGAAAAATATCGTTGACTTCAATCGATGAATTAATATTCTGTTCCACTGGCAACCAAGTTGAATTCAAGTAGCAATCTGGCCAAGAAATCCAGTTTCCTCATCATGGCAACTACATTCCAATAATAGTTATTAAAAAATAAGAAAAAAAACCCAATCAAAACGAACAAGCATCGAGCGACGCAGACGGCAATAGTTGAAATTCAAATATGAATGCAAATATGCTGGGACAGCTTTTAATAAATGCAAAGATCGGCAGATCGACATTATCTTGGATGGATGGGGAGTAGCACTGGGTGACACCTACAGCTACAGCTACAGCTGTAGAAAGGTGAAGAATTCTAATCAAGAAGTACGGAAGTCGGTAGCTTCTAAGGGAGAACTCTTAACATTCGACCAATCAACGGAGATAACCACAACGGAGATCTCTGTTAACCGTGTACCGCGTGATGTTAACATGGCCAACAAGTGCGGTTTAATTACGTTTCTCTCTGCACACGCTCTTGCGATCGAATAGAGTCTAGCCGACTCTCTTAGCCGGATCGTTTCGGGCCGTTATCACCTGCCGAAGCGGTCGAAACGAGCCGTTCAAAAGGGTCGAACTGGGCTAAAATCACACTCAGTCTTAGCGGGTTTTCTTCGGCACACCGCTGGCTATCTTCAAAAGCGCCTTAGTTGCATTCGCGTCGAGTTAGTTGCGGTTTAAACGGCGAACGGTTCACATCTATCTAAAGTTTATATATAATTAATAAGCAGAAAAGGAAGATATCCCTAATTTGTAAGGACTTTGCACCTGGTAGCCTCAAGTGATTGGTTTCCGAATGTATTTCAAGCCACAAGTTAATCTCAAAAGCAATAAAATTCGGTCGCGTCGGTTCTAAGCAAATAGTATTTTGTGATATCACAGTGCCCAGAGTCGTCTGATAAGTGAATTAACTCGGGATAAAAAGCCAACAGAGTGGAGGAAGTTCATCATCATCACAAAGCACCGAACACAATTCACGTAGGCCATAAATGTTTTAACAGTGTTCTCCATAAACATTTTATAAACACAAATTTTGATATAACCCTAAACTTACAGTGATGATAAATGTGGCGAAATCTTGTTTTTCGAATATGAAATAATTGGCCTTCTAATTATTGGTAGTAAAATTGATCTTAAGAAACCAGATTTTGGTTTTTAGTTGCCAGGCGAAAGATTTTTCATTGCAATTTGAAAAGATCTTGGGAATATTAAGAGAATTTTTTACTTTTCAAGATTTGCTTATAAAATCATATGACTAGTGTAAAATAATTAAACTTTTTAAGTGGAAAATTTTAATCATTATGCATTTATTCATTTTTTAATAACCAATTAACCAATAAATAAAAGATGAAATTCATGCCGAAATGAGTTTATTTTTGGCCAAAAATATGAATAAATTATAATTTATGATGGGAAACTTCCATTCGACGCTTTGACTGTCTCCACTTCCTCCCACCACTTGTCCACTTACAAACGGCCTTGACATTGAGTAAAATCTCATAAATTGTTTCTTGCCCAGTGCAAGGCACAGCGAACACGAAAAATAATTCCTCCATTCATTTAACCGTAGAGATTCTAATCGCCAAACAAGAAAAGGCCCTCAAGATTAATCTTCCAAATGCATGATTCACAATTCATAAATTACTGTCGAATTTTTCAAGACCTTAACCTAAGCAAATACAAAAGGTTTGGGCTTTTGTTCTGCACTTTTGCCTTTTTTTCACGTCGGCACGTAACTCGATTCCTCTAAGCATGACCCGAAGTTTGTTTTGATTTTGGTTTTGTTTTGTTTTGATCGCGGCTTGTGTGTAAAAATAGCTCGACGAAGACTGGTCAGTCGAAAAAACCGGCTGACGATGGGTACTAGCAATAGGATGTATGGGAAAGAACCTGGCTCAACGTACGGGATGCGTGATGTCTCAGGGATTTCCAAAGAGAGAGCTGTGTGAGGGGAACCCCAAATTGGCCATCGTAACACCGGACCTGCGATAAGCCGCTTAAAAACCTTCCACTTCATCTCCGCTTTTGCCATGATTTTAATGGCATTTCACTCTTCCACCACTGCCTACCCCAACATATGTTTGGTCATCCAAACAAAAAGATCGAAAATGCGGTCAAGCAGCGACTAATTGTTGTCAAAAAAAAATGGCCAAAACGGTGAAGATACTCATATAAAAATGTCTTAAATAAATCAAATTATAATAAACAAGCCCGATAATTATATGTAAAAACGTGAAGCGGAAAACACTCTTGGTTATTATGCAACTTTTTACGAACGTGTGATTCGGTAGTACCTCAAATAAAAAAAAAACTTTCGAGGCAAAAAAACAAAAATATAAAAGCAAACTTTGCATAACAACATTTTTTCTGATTGATTGCCAAAGAAATTTTTAGGGTAGAAAGAAATTGGCCATTAAACGAGTCAACAATGCCGTTTAATCTGATTGAATTCGATAAATGAAAAAGGTGTAAAAGCCACTTCAGAATGCATTTTAAAATGAAAAGCTTGATTGGATAATATTCGTATTTTCATTGGCAGAAACTGTGAAAAATGTCAAGAGCTCACTTAAAAAACCCATTACAAGATTTAATTTAATTTGTAATTTAATCAAGTGGGCTTAAAAATTCCCAAGTATTTCTTGAAAATCTGAGCTTTAACTCGATCATCTTAAATTTCCATTGTTCTAGTTTCTCAAGATTTAATATGTAAATGGTTTGGGGATCTCCAGCTACTGTGGTCATTCAAGGGGAACCGTAACCCTAGCTGGCTGGAATTTTAAGAAAGTATAAATAAATATTCATTTGGTCACCGCAAAAGAAAATCACAAAAATTAATTTCCTAGGTGCTAATTTAGAGGGAATACCCTGCTGGGATTTTAATGACAGCTCCAATCAAATCTCAGGTCTTAGAGCATATTCTCGTACACAATGAATAAGCGTTCTGACCACGTGACTTTTGCAATTCAGAATCCAAGAGGCATGTTAATCGAAGTGATTGTATGTCGAAAAGTATTAGAAGTTAACTCATGTCAGCACAAAAATACCAGTCAGAGCCACTTAAGAAATTTGTGTAAGATGATCAGAATTAATTGAGCCAAAAGTCACCTAAGGGAAGCATTGAATAAATATTTGAACTTTGATTGATTACTCATTTGATTGAGCCAAGACTCAACCATTAATTAATATTTTAGTTCCGCTTGGCAGCAGAATTAGATTGCTCATAAAATGATTAGATCTTGTTAATAGGTTTTCAATTTCGGGTTTTTTTTCAGCTTGACTTAAATGAGGTGCCACGTAGCCGGGTACTTAGTTCCTAATGAACGGAAGTGCGTTAGGTCCATTTGGCCCTTAAGGTACTCGCAGTACATAAATCTTTAAGATGCTTTAAGTGTTGTCAAATAAAAGAGGAAGTCATGGGGATAGGCAAAGGAAGGTGTCTACTGAACTTGGGAGAAGTCTGAATACTCTGTAAATACTCTGTTCTTAAACCAGTGAAGTAAAATTAAATTTAATATTAATATTAAAAAGGAAATTAGCCAATACAAATTAAGGTCAGAAAAATATAATTTTTACTTTATAACTCTCTTGTTTTTGGTTTATTATTTAACATAAACTGTAATTCTTTTATAGCTCCGATTTTTGTAGCACTAAAACTTGTTGATTATTGTAATAAACCCAGTTTTGAGGGATAATTTTTACACCAAACACTCTGCTGAGAAAATTGGAGCATAAACACAACTTGATGTATATGAAAAATGTCTTGAGCCATTTCTTTCGCATTTTCTTCCCCAGCTACGTTTTTGTTTTTCCTTTGCTTTTCATAATTTATGCGCAGTTTTCTTTATGTGTGGGCTGATGGGGCTCCATCGGACTTTGGCTTATAGACACTGGACCCATTGGCGGACGTGAGCTTGTGCCTCTGTGTGTGTCTGCACGCGTGTGTGTGTTTAAGGAACAGCGTGCTAATTAATTAAATTCGTACGTGCTTTGTATGTATGTGTGTATGAGTGAATGTATATATGTATTTGTATATATATATGAATGTGCAACTGTCTTGAGTTGAGCTGGCGAATCAACTTGCTGGCCATGTGCTGATAGGACCAACATCAAAAGCACACACATGCACAACGTGGCGTATGAGTGATATTTACAGTCGAGCCGTAAATCATACTTAACTTAATATACAATATATACCACCCAGCTCATATGCTTGGCCTTTTCGGCCATGTGCGTGTGCTCCTTTCTTTTGCGGGGCGATGACGAGGTCAATACAGGATGCTAGGCTAATATGGTTATAGGGTTAGAGGATATTCCCATTGATTGAGTTTGGCAATAACAAGAGAAAAACAATTTGTGTAATTGTTATTGTTTATTAGATGAAACTCGATTAGGCAAAAGAGTTTGGGCTGGAGCTGGGAGTGAATAAGAATTAGATTGGATTATTTATTAGCCTGAAGAGAGGCTCTTAACAAAAATAAACTAATTAAAATGTAAACTTTCTTTTATTTAACCTTTATTCCAACATCTTAACTGGCCTTGAATAGGGTCAACGCCTTTCTTTTCCCCATATACATCAGAATTTGTCTTCAATGAAATATAATATAACAACTTCAAACCGAAAGCAACTCGTTTCATAAACAATCAACAAGACCATCTGCCAAGCCATTCAAATATAATTGGACAATATGAAAAATATTCCAATAATATTCGAAATTAAATGCTCCAATCGGCAGCTGAATAAATACATTAAATAACAATATTAAGTGTAATTTATATCACAACTTGTTCTAATAACAGTCGATGCTCATTTTGTGTGTCCCATTTGCAGGCTATTTGTGGTTTAAATCAACAACAACTTCCGCATAACCACATACAAAAGATCCAAAAATATTCAATAAAAGAGAATCATAGCCAAAAAAAAAAAATAAAGTGGAAGCCAGTGAGCAACAATTGGTATAAAAACCAAAACAATAACCTCAAATTGAATGAGCGTAAGCCATAATTATGACCAAATGAGCCAGCCCAAAACAACAGAAACAGCAACAGCTAAAACAACAAAACGGCCAAGGACCAACAACAAAATGAGGGTTGTCAACAGCAGATTAACAGAGTTATCTCGGTTAACAGTCGTCTTGGCAATGCTGCTGCTGCAGTTTGTGAGTCATGCCAGTGGCTCGCAAACTGTAAACCAAACAGCGGGTGAGTAAAAAGCATTGGAAATAATTTGAGAGGCATATGATTAAGTTTTAATAATTTTAATATTTTTTTAGTTAAAATTTATATATTTTTTAATATTTATAAATTGTATGAGATACTTTATATTCAAGTTTTATTTTTTCATTATAAAAGTCTTATTTTATAAAATATAGAAGCTAGTTTGGTTTATTTTACCCATTAAACTTAACTATTTTTCTCAGTGTTGATTAAGCACAACATGCATGTAAGCCTCCAGAAGCTTCACGTGGCAATTAACGCCCAGCGACCTTGGCCAAAATTAATGCCGGCACAAGCATTAACACCAAGGAAAAATATATACAAGCATATATATTTTCTTTAGACAATGTAAACAGCGGTCGCCACTCACATGCGAAAAATAAGTATCTGCCCACCTGGCATGTGAATTTGCGTAAGTCCGGCAAATAATCAAGCAAGTGCTTGATGGTTAAAACAAACGTCGGTAGCCAGGCAATCATAATAATGGCCATAACGAGCCAATAAACGATGCAGCCCAACGTTGAAACCCCCATACACTCACACTCACCGAAAAACAGTCAATAAACGCGGCCTTAATGCTTAACTGACAGACATCCGCCTAACGGAGTTGGGTATATATGTACGACGTACGTGCAGCTCACGCATATAGTATAATTTATATGCCAAACAGCTGCTGACATAGCCCAGTCTCCCTTTAAAAAAAAAAATAAGGAAAAAAGGAAAAATATAGGAAAACCCAACCAGGATGAGCTGGAGTCCCAGATGCCTCGAGCTCATATTTCACTCCACGACAAAACTGTTGATTCATTCATGAATAATGTGTTTTGTTATTGAAGAGGTTTTTAAAGTCAGCCATCAAATAAAAAACTTCTGGTCTTAGCTTTTCTCAAAAATGTATATTATTTGTTACTATAAATCATTTACCTAAACTGCTAAGAATGGGCAGTCGAATGTGTAATTTGTAAAGTGATTTATTAAATTCGTATGACAGCTCGTGAGCTTTAGGAAGTTATAAATTTAATTTCAATTTTTTATATGTGACATAATTTCTAGGTGTTCACCAAATGGGAAAATCTAATTTTAAACAATAATCCCGTTTCAGGGAAGGTCTATATATAGTTTAAAAATTATAATAACTCTGAAATTTCTAGCTGTTATTTGTAAGTCATATTTCTTAAATTAGTATTTTCTTTGCCCTAAAAGACTTAACAAGAACTTCTTATCAGCTTATCAGTTTCTTAATCTTAATGCTCTGCTCTCCTAAAGTTAATTGTTTTTTAATGAGAGTGTATTTTTAACAGTGATTTTCCGATTACCAATGGTCATGCCTTTTAATGATTAGAATTGCGAAATACTTTTTGTTTGTTTGACTAAGTTAAGCCATTTTCAAGACCACAATTCTTTGTGGGTTACGTTGGGATCTATAAAGATTACCTGAAAATATCGAATTACTAGCTCATGCTTACTCATTTCACATTTCCAAAGGGCAAATACCGAACTGGAATTAGCCGCGAAAATTATAGACAACTACATCTAGCGGGTCAGGTTAACCAAGTCGATCCGGATCTTGATGGCATTTTAATTTGTATTTTATCGCCTTATTGGACGTGTGTGAACTAATTTACATACGAATGTCGACACTTGTCGCCTTCTCTATGAGCAATCGCATTTGATACCCATAAAGACGGCTAAGGAATGTCAATTTAATATTAAACGGTTAGTAAGCGGATTTATTAATAGTTTTAAGCAACAAAGTTAAGTATTTTGACAGTTAAACGTTGCTATAAAATGTTAAATAAATACTTTAATAACATTTTTATATCTGCAAAACTGGTTTTCATTTATATTGTGAGAATAATACCCATAGTACTTCTCACTTTCACAATCATTCGCACTTGTCCCTCCCCATTTCTGACTCAGAGTTCAAGGCACCTGAGGCCAAACAGTTAGCACGTGTAATTAACAATTATTAACTAATAATAGAAGTCTCAAATCTGTATATATGTACACAGAATTCCCAAGTGTGAAACTAAGCCAGGCATTCAATTAAATGAGCTATAAATTACGAATCTCAGGCGCGTGATATGCCAACCAAAATGACAACCAACCATGTTTTGGTCTCAAATTGTTTTTATTTGTCTTTTCTTTTTTGTCTTTTTTTGTTTATGACCCACTGAATTATATTTGCTGGGTGTTTATTTTTATCACTAAACAATTGTTTACCAGGCTAAACAAGAACAAAGCCGAGTAATTACTCAAAAGAAATTTTCCTTGAGCTGTCTATTTTTAATATGTTCTAGGGTAGTAAATAAAATTACATTGATAAATCAGGGTAGATACCCTTTGGTGTTTAGATTATAAAAAGCTCATTTAGTAATGTTTATATTGACATTATTTTAAATCTTATTTTAGATGCAAATACTGTTTGTCTGTACCACGAACACAACACCACTTACCACAAGGATATCGGAGCTGTGTGGTTTGCCTCTAACGATCCTTGCCTGGTATATTCCTGTGCTGCAGGTGTGGCCAAGGATCCACAGGCCCATATTGTTGTGAACCAGGTCGACTGCAATGAGTTCTATTGTGAAGTGGTAAGTAGCATATTAACCATATCTCTAAAATATATTATTCTGATCCAAGTTTTCTATAGGGTTCAGAGCTGCGTAGTGTCGAAGGCAGCTGTTGTGGGGAGTGTGTTAGGACCCACTGTCAACACAATCATACCCTTTATGCAGTTGGGGAGTCCTGGCACAACGATGCCGACTGCACCCTTATCGAATGCGGACGTTTGGACAATGGCCAAATCATCATGAACACCTACAAACGGAATTGTCCCGAATTGACCGAAGACTGTCCAGCTTCAAGATTAGAGGAGCGAAACTGCTGTCCCTACTGCAGACCTCTGCAAACAGCAAGGATTGAGGAACTCCAGGATAATGAAGAAGAGAATACAGATGACATTTGGACAGCCGAATGGTATCGTAGGCATCCCTGCAATCGGGATTGTCAAGTAGGAGCCGAACCCATGACCTGTCACTATACTTTTGTGGTGGAATGGTATCAGACCTTCTCGAAGGCCTGCTACGATTGTCCAAGGAATCTAACAGATTGCTACCGGCCACATTGCGTCATGGGTGATGGTCTAGAACGAAGTATCACTGTGGTGAATCGCATGATGCCTGGGCCAGCGATTGAAGTCTGCGAGGGTGATCAGATTGTGGTGGATGTGAAGAATCATCTGCTGGGCGAAAGCACCTCGATACACTGGCACGGGCTGCATCAGAAGAAGACACCCTATATGGATGGTGTTCCACACATCACCCAGTGTCCAATCACTCCACATGCAACCTTTAGATATTCTTTCCCAGCTGATCTCTCCGGCACTCACTTCTGGCACTCGCACACTGGAATGCAGAGAGGAGATGGTGTCTTCGGTGCCTTAATCATCCGGAAACCAAAGGCAGTGGAACCTCATGGAGGACTCTACGACTTTGATCTCAGCGAACATGTGATGGTTGTCCAGGATTGGATTCATGATACGGGTGCAAGCATATTTTCCTATCATCATCACTCTCGGGGTGATAACAAGCCCCATAACTTGCTTGTGAATGGAATTGGAAGATACTATAACCGCATTTGGGCCGAAGCCAAGCAAGCTCATCGCAGAGCTGAGGAGAGGACCTTAACACAACCAGTGGAACCCCTACCCAAATCCCAAGTGGACTTTGTTCAATCTCTGCCAAGACAAGCTCGTCTGGCTAAGACGAACACCACAAAACTCTTTCCCGTCCACTCCCGCCAGAAGAGAGGTAATCTCAACGAGATACCTTTGGAGCTAGTTCCTCATCAGGTGTATACAGTTAGAAGAGGCTTCCGTTACCGCTTCAGGATCATAAATGCAGAGTATCTTAACTGTCCGATTGTGGTTTCGGTAGATGGTCATAACGTAACAGCAATCAATTCGGATGGCTTTGATATCGAGGCCATGGATGTGGGTTCTATAGTAACGTATTCCGGCGAACGATTTGATTTTGTGCTGAATGCCAATCTTGAGGTGGGAAACTATTGGATTCGATTGAAGGGTTTGATGGACTGCAGCGAGGTCTTTACCTCCGCTTTTCAAGTGGCCATCCTTCGTTATGAGGGAGCTCCGGATGAAGAGCCTACCGCAGAGCTTAGTTATGGCCATAAAGCCGAGGGCATTGAACTGAATGTGATGAACCGAGGACCTGGATATCCGGATACCAAAACCGTTGCCGAAATGAGAGCTCTACCCATCTATGATCATGTATCAGGCATCGATCATGATACCCTTAAACCAGAAGCGGACTACAAGTTCTTTATTTACTATGACTTCTATACCAAGAACAACCCAGACTTCCACGACAAGGATCTGTATGCCATGGACATGGAGATGACCCAGCAGAACCGTCTTTACACTCCCCAACTGAATCACATTACCCTAAAGTTCCCATCGCTGGCATTACTTCCCTCGAGGAGTCAGCTGAAGGATTCGGACTTTTGTAATGAAACAAGTTTAATGGACCAAGGCATCGACTGTCGCACAGAGTTCTGCAAGTGTCATCATGTTCTGCAGGTTCCTTTGGGTGCAGTTGTCGAAATGATAATCGTGGATGAGGGCTTCCAGTACTATGCCAATCATCCCTTCCATTTGCATGGTAATGCCTTTAGAGTCATGGGATTGGAGAGATTGGGAGAGAATGTGACCATTGAAATGGTAAGACTTTCTACTTAAATTCATTTTTAAATACAAAAATAAAATTTTATTTTCCTTTCAGATCAAACAACTGGATCAGTTCAATTTACTCAAACGAAACCTGGACAATCCACCCGTCAAGGACACAGTTACTATTCCAGATGGAGGCTATACCATCATAAGATTTGAAGCCTCCAATCCTGGTTTTTGGCTCTTCCATTGTCACATCGAGTTCCATGCCGAGATTGGAATGGCTCTGGTCTTCAAAGTAGGTAATGACGATCAAATGGTCCCAGTGCCAGAGAATTTCCCCACCTGCGGCGATTATAATCCTGATCTTAAGTCTGGGGGAAGTACTGAAGATTCGGGATCTAGCAAACCATCAACAGTAACTCCCCCAAGTGCTGGAGGCCATGGATCTGGATTAGAACCCACTTTCATAACTCTGATGATAACCTTTTATGCTAGTGAAACTCTATCAATAAGATGAGACCTTCGTAAGAGACCACAACCCAAACTTGCCAAGCGAAATTCAGAGATTATTTATTGACGACGAAGGAAGAAAAACCTGGAAATCAAATTGATTTTGATTGATATAGAAAAATATTTGTAATCTAGCATCTGTATATATATTCCATAGCTCGCATCGTTGTAGCCTAAACATCTGTGATTGTCTAAGAAAACGTTTAAATAAGTAACTTCAACTTTTAATAAATACAATTATTAGTGTTTTTATAAGATTTATTGGTGTTTGAAATGGGGAAAAACTCAAAGTTTTGAATAATCATTAACCCTAAAGAATATAAAATCGAAAACCATTTACCTATAACAGATACATAAAGATAGAAACACCGCATTTTAGGCCTTTACTAATGCTTATCTGATTTACAACATATATAAAAGACTCTCTCGTTTCCTAAAACAAGTCTGATGCAACTTTCCCTAAATATTGCAAGATAGTCATTAGCAAATTCTAAAAGTTTATAATGAGGAACATTGTCGAAATATTGAAATGCCGTCAGGTGGTGGCGGGAGATCGAGAGATCGGCTAAACCAGCCAATGCCCTGGATGTCGATAGCGGTCTTATCTGGTCCCCACTGGCAACAGCTGGCGACGTTCTTGTTGTCGTCTTTTCCCAACTCAAAGTATCAGCAATGTGCAGGGACCTGATCTTCCACCCATTGACCCATGGAAGATAGCCGAAATTATGGCGATGTTATTGCAGACTGCGACAAAGTAATCAGAGCAGATGCGCTGGACATCTGGACTCGGTGCATCTGGGCTGTTATATAAGAACAGACATCTACTGGTTCCAAATCAGACGGAGTCAGTCAGTCATCTTAACACATTCCTTTCCAAGCCAATCCCAAATAACCCAATCTCAAAACTCAAAATGTTCGACTGGACCGGTAAGAATGTTGTCTACGTTGGCAGCTTCAGCGGCATTGGCTGGCAGATGATGATGCAGCTGATGCAGAAGGACATCAAGATGATGGGCGTCATGCATCGCATGGAGAACATGGAGATGATGAAGAAACTGCAGGCCATGAATCCCTCTGTGAAGGTTGTCTTCATGCAAATGAATCTCATGGAAAAGATGTCCATCGATCAGGCGATGAAGAAAATGGGCCAGATGATGGGCCACATCGATGTGATGGTCAATGGCGAGAGTGTGCTGCTCGACAAGGATATGGAGATGATGATGGGCATGAACCTGGTAAGAAATCCCTGTGAAAAATGCTTTTTATTTTCTATAATTATATAATTTCTTCCCCAGACTGGCATGATGCACGCTACGATGATGGCGATGCCTTACATGGACAAGACCCAGATGGGCATGGGTGGCATGGTGGTCAATATGTCATCCGTTTATGGGCTAGAGCCTTCACCCGCCTTCCCCGCCTATGCCGCTGCCATGCACGGCGTCCTCGGATTCACTCGCTCCATGGGTGACAAAATGATCTACCAGAAGACCGGTGTCATGTTCATGGCCATGTGCCCTGGACTTACCAACACCGAGATGATGATGAACCTGCGCGACAACGTCACCTGGCATTATGCCGAGTCAATGGTGGAGGCTATGGAGAGTGCCAAACGCCAAATGCCCGAGGAGGCTGCCATGCAAATGATCCAAGCGATGGAGATGATGAAGAACGGCAGCATGTGGATCGTCAACATGGGACAGCTCAAGGAGGTCATGCCTACGATGCACTGGCAGATGTAAAATGGAGTTAGCTCACAAAGAGTGCCTTGTTTGAGAGATTGTAAAATATTTGTTAAAATAATATAATTTGGAAGTTGTTAATGAAGAACTAAAATCTTGGCTCACAAATGTCTTTATTTTTAAATTATTTTTCTCATTCATCGATCTCGCTTGTAAAATGTATTCTACATTTTTAGTTAACTAAGCAACCATTTCCATTTAATTCTCATCAGTTTTGCATCGACAATCAGTCTATAGGCTAGATCTTTCTAAAATCAAACAAAATTGCAGTCAACGACAACTTATATTTTTATCTACAAAGTGTTACTTTAGATATATATTTTTACAAAATTTACACAATTTGGTTAATTACTAAAACTCTAACAATGTCAAGTCATTGCATTTGTTGTGGCGTCGAAATGCCGTCATTTTCCATTCCGGGTGGCCAGGTCAGGGTTTCTCAAAGCAAGGACTTTTCTATTCCTCATTCTTTGGGATTTCATAACTTAAGGCAACCAAGCTGTACTACTTCAAAAAGGGTCTGCCCCAGTCAAAGGACATCTGTGCCAAAAAAGAATATGGGCATTTCTCGAAAGAGGTCTGCCTGCAAAAAGAAAAAAACATCTTTAAAAATAAAGGCCCAGCAGCCAAAACCCCTCTATAAGGCTGTAATTTTAAGGGAGATGATCAGACTAGGAAGACGTCCAAATGAAATGTTCAAAAAAGGCTGCGAAGAGCGTACCACTAGCTAAGAAGCGCGTTTCCAATAAGTATCGTGTAGCTGAACGTCGGCCGAAACATCCTGCTTTTTCGCAGTAAGTAAGACAAAAGACTTTTAACAAACGATTGAATAATTTTTTAAATTTATCATAAGATCGTACAAAGCCCATGGAATTGAACCTGGAACTGCAGATGAATTGAAATCTTACATAATAGATTGTGATGAGGAGCCGAGGACATCAGAGCAGGAAGTTGAAATTTATAATCATTACTATTTAGAACCTTCGACAACTTTATATAAACCATCGGAATCTATGATGATGGATTTAGATGAAATTCTCGATGAAACAGCGACACCTATTTTGGAAGAATTAGATTTAATAGAAGATGCGTCCATGGAAACTAAGTCCATCATTAGTATTCCAAAACAGAGACCATCGTACTTTGAATGGTACATATAAATTTTAGCTATTGAATAAATAAAATAATTAGCATACGTTTAACGAATACAAGGTGTATATTATATTAGTTACATCATTCGATTTGGTAGATTTCTTAAAAAGTAAAGTTCATAAAAAAAAAGAGACCTCAATGAGGTCCTAATTCAGTTTCTGAACGCCACAAATGGCTCATTGTCGTAGTTTAACATAAATTTATTATCACATTGTAAAATCTGTAAGGTAACAGCCAGAGGGGAATCCAAATCAATGCAAGCATAGATTTCCCTCAACCCTCCGGTTAAGTTCATTATCAAAATCAACTTGATTAAAGCTACGGTTTCGACGGATGAACTCGTCTAATATCTCAGCCTGGCACTGGCCTACCTCCATCACGGATCGCCAGTCGGCGACGTTCTGTGGCACTTTTTGATCCTGCAGTTGGACAAACAGCGGTTCCAGGGGGCAGTTGTAATGACGCAAGTTGGCTCTCACATTCCTGGCTGTATTAATCACATGGTAACAAACTGCACACTCAAACTTGTCAAAGAGTGATGCTCCCGCAGACGTATCACCTATGTGGTATTGACGTGTGATAAGACTGTGTAAGAGGTTCTTGTTTGAGATGGGGTTTTGCAAGTTTAGTTTGTGCTCGCGATAAGAATCATACAGCTCTTGGTTGTCCGCTAATTGTGTTATATACTGTGCCAACGCCTGTGGGTTGGGAAAGTCGTTAACATAAATCGCCGACTTCTTATTCGGCTCCCAATCCTAAAATATGCAAGGATTATAGTTAAGAACTGTTGAAATTGGATTATATCTCACTCACTCACTTTTATTGTAGGGGATCCAAAATAAATAGGAATAACTCCCATAATCAAAGGTCGCCAAAACTTTTCGGTTATATAATCAGGGCAGGCAGCATTTTCAATGGCAATCATAAATTTGTAATCGGACAAAAAACGAAGCAATTCCGGTGAATAGAGATTATTCAAGTAATCTTTCTGCAGGCTGCAACAAATCAAACAAAAAATGTTTATATAATGATTTCTTTTATAAGCTAGGTATTAGTTATCGTTCAGCTGTGCGTCGTGCAGATGAGCTTTCCCGTTGCCTTTTAGAAGGCGTTTCATAGTATTCCTCCAATTCGCGGTCATCCTCGGTCTTATGCTCTTCTTGATTCGCATGAGCCTCTTGTTGACAACAGCAGATCTTGGGTGCAATTTGTCGGTTAGAAGAAAGGTTTCCTATCTGACCATGACAACGATGACATGGCAAGGATCCGTACAACCGCACCCAGCACTCTGAACAGCAGATCTGGGGGAGCTCGGTGGCTCTAGGTGAAGTCATGGTTTTTTCAAATTAAGTTTATGTATACAATATGCTTGTTATAACTGAGTGGAGTACAAAAAAGGAAAAGCTTACTTGCCTTTCCGGCAGATCTTTGTTCCTTAGGCAACTGCCGAACGAATCGATATTGATAAGTTTCATCAACTCCTTCACGTAATCCTCCCTACCAGTCATGGTGTCGCAGTCGCTTTGAAGGAACACCACTGATGGCGAAGGACGATAAGCAAACTTTGACTTCCCGGCAAACGAAACATAATAATCCTTTGAGGTAAGCGCCTGGCCACTGGGTAAGTACTGCGTAGTCAGCGGTAAGGTGCTAAAGCGGCTGAACGTCGAGGTGAAGTGAAAGTGCCGCAAGAACTTATCATTGGACGCGAAAGGTACGTTTCTGGGTGATTCTTCATGTAGCAGAGCCCAAGCATGGCGATTGCCACGGGGAACAGGGAAATCACCAGTCTTCATATTGGACCCATAAAATAGGACGCCCTGTTGAATGTATAAGTGATATTACATTGGTTGTAAGTAAATCTTAGATAAATTAAGTTCTTTACAAATTAAGTTCCTTATCAGTAGTTCTTATAACCAACAAATACAGTAGATTTTTAGGAAGAAAATTATTAAAATTAAGTTACATGACCAGCTATTTTTAGAGCATAAGGCCTAACTTGTACCCTCTGAAATAGCGTCTCAAAAAATCATATTATTTACATATATTCTTATCATTTCTGCCGGATGTGGAGTAATAATTATATTTCTATTATATCTATCTACAAACCCGGGCCTGTGGAAGACGGCTGCGCTTGTTGGTGATGCGGCAAGTGTTTATTCCGCACTTTCGCTCCACGTCGTGTGTCCATGTCATGTCCCTGGACCACCAGAGCAACTCCACAGGACTGTGAGAATCTTCGTAGTTCATGATTTTATCGCCGAAGAAGAACACAATGGCTAGCCAAATGGTCAGCATTACAACCAGTGCAATGCAGCGGCGCGGTGTTAGCCGCATTGCTGTCCTTGAAGTACTCGTTTACAGGATAATAAGTATTATTTCACAAATTTCCTTTTAGATTCAAAAAGCCGGTGAGCCGCTATTTCGACTCAAGCGGCTAATTTTCGACTGCCAGCCATCAGCTGATTTTTGCCAAAGCGTAGTGCTGGAAAACGACCGATTAATCTAGTCACACTTTGCACGGCTCGACTAGGTATGTAACATTTGATGGCATGATGGCATGGAAAAATATTAAATTTTTTGGATTTGATTTTAAATGTATATTTTGCACTTAAAGATTTACAAGTTTGAAAATATATTACCTATCCTGGTTTAATAAGTAATATATTTTACTAAATTAGGGTTATACATTTTACATTTTAAAAGTTATAAAATTTATTTCTCTTTTATTGTATAAAAATTTTAAACATACAACAAGAGCATCTTTTACAGATCATTTAAAATTTTGTATAGAATATAAAATAAAATATTATAATAATATAAAAATTGTATAATAAAAATATTGCAAAAATATTATAAAAAATTTAATTTCTTTGAATTTATTTTTTTTTTCATCATGCGGATGGCATCATGCACGCCTTACCGTTATCTACCCTCGCCAGCTGTCATGCAACCAGTTGACGCTTTGCAACACTTCAGTTCGTCATAATATTGTTCCATTTACAATTGCTCAATTAAGAGACCGAAGCAACAGAAACACCCAGAACTGTATCGAAATGAGCCCATTCCACATCGTGTAATCAACCAAACAGATTGGAGTCATCGCGAAGCATTCAAAATGCAACATCTGTCGAAAGAAGCCAACGAGCGAAGGTAGAAAACAAACATTGACATAACACGTCAACGATTGGGAGCAGGCAAACCACCAGGGAAACCATACGGCGCGGCACTCTAATCGCAGAGCATGTGTTATGGCCACGACAAGATCCGCCGGAGAAGCCGCCACGTCCGTTAATTCTGGAACGGGAGCAGGAAACTCAGCGTTGAGGAAGCTGTCCACGGCCAGTGGCAATGGAATCACAGGTGGAGCGACCGCTCCCAGCTGGCAAAGTTGCTACTACTGCACCCGGGAGCATTTCAAGACCATCAGCGACTTTGTCAGGTGAGAAATCATCATCATTATTCCATGTGTAGTACATTTTATGAACAGATTTTACGACCTAGGAAAAGTTATCTTAAATTAATGTGTATGTGTATGAGGTTAGACGACTTTTAATGAGAAAATGCTGGCAGGTAAAATTATTCAGGCAAGGTACAGATAATTAAAATTGTATACTTTGCTGAAGTCCATATCTGCATAGCTTTTATTGGTTTCCAAAAATATCTCCATCTGAAAGTCAAGTCAAAAAACTAAATCCCTACATTATTATTTTATATTCAAAAAAATTTATTGCTTAGGAGAACTATAGTATTTTAATGTTTTTATAACTAGATTGTAAAAAGCTGTTTCTATATCATTCAAAATTTTAATTTATTTGAAATAATTTGTAATTTATTTATAATGCCTAGTTTAGAATCCATTGGATTTGTATATGTTTATCTATTTCCATGTCATACTTTGTTTGAATAACAAAACGCTTATACATATAGTTTATAACCGACACATTTTGTCGTTCAACTCACTAACTGAATCATAACAAAAATATTCCACTTTATTTATGACATATAATTAAGCATATTCTCTTATTACACATTTTAGTCATCTACGGAATCGTCACTGCACTCGGGAAGGTGGCTCCTTTGTGTGTCGCTATGGCTTCAATGGAGTCTGCGCCTCTCTACCACTGGACGGAGTCTCAGATCGTGACTATGACGCCCATGTGGCCAAGTACCATGTCAACCAGCACACGCGCGAGATGCCACCCGAATGGGGTGTCTACTCGGCCGCCCAGAACCTGCCAGCAGTGCTCAACGATCCCTCTCGCGGCAAGCAGAGCAATCTGTTCACCAAGAAATGGGGTGAGCACTTTGTGGAACGCAGTCATGTACCAGCCTCCCCCGATTACCGGATATAACGCATGCCGATTTTGCGGTCTATCTGGGCAGCATTGGGAAGCGATATCGCTGGCATGAGCGACGACAGCAGCAGCTGGAGCGTGATAAACCGCTGGAGAATGGAGCACAAGGAACACCTGGACCGGGAAGTAGTGGTCAGACACCCACTCACTTAAGCTCGGTGCCGGAGATCTTTTTAAAATCACAGTTGCAGCTACATCACCCGGCCACTTTCAAGCAGGTATTTCCTAATTACATGCAAACGTCGGGTAGTAGTCCAGAAACCCATCAGCAAACTGGACGCCAGCTGCAGGAACAGCTTAGTCACTATCTGGACATGGTGGAGGTGAAAATAGCGCAGCAGGTTTCACAGAAATCAGCTGCATTCTTTCATGCCATGACGACACAGCATGCCATTCTAGCTGAAATGGAGCAGGCCGCGGACCAAGTACGTCAGTTGAGAACAGCATTGGCCCAACTCCATAGTCACTCCGTTGTCGACAGTTTTAAAGTTCTACGTTTTGCTCAAAGAAGACAACACTATAACCTTACACTGGACAAACTTCGACTGATGGCCACTGTGCACAAAACGCAACCAATGCTGCAGCTTCTTTTGGGAACGCAGGATTATGTGGCTGCCCTGGATTTAATAGGAACCACCCAGGAGATCCTTTCTGCCGAGCTGCTTGGCATTCACTGTTTTAAGCACCTGCCCATGCAGCTTAGTGAAATGGAGAAGCTAATTGACAAGATGCTGACCACGGAATTCGAACGCTATGCAGCCGCGGATCTTAATCGACCACTGTCAGATGCCCTCCGAGAAACTGACAGTGTTTGCGCCGAAGAAGACAAGCTGGTGGCTATCGTTATGGGTCTGCTGCGCAAGCAGAAACTTCTCTTTTGTCCAGGCCTACCAACAAGAAGCCATTGCCACCATTCGAGCCATCGTAAAGCAACTTCTGATTGAGGTTTTGGCGCGTAGTGACAGCGATCAGGAGATCAGTTTAACGGGTCACGGGGAGCAAGCCTTGGAGCTCACCCTGCCCGAGTGGATTGCCCTTCTCCAACGCTCCAGTCAGGCCTTGGTATCTATTCTCGAACGAATTAAGGCTGTAGTGGGTATAATGCAGCAAACAGCGGACGCAGCTGTAGGTGCTCAGGATGCAGTGAATCTTATAGATTCGGAAGCCTTTCTAAGTCCTGGCCATCATGAGCAGCTGAAGTCCCAGTTGCAGCAGCTCCTTCAAGCCGTCTGCAATTACTGCCATGAGCGTTGCGCCAATATTGTATCCCCTCAGAGTTTGGAAAAAAGTTCAGCAACTGAACAGGAGCTCTCCCAGCTCTCTGAGATTGTGGATCAGTTTAGCGAGACCACGCGAAGCATTTGTGGAGTGGCCAGTGTGCCCCTGCAGTTGGCCCTAAAAGTCCAAGCCTCGCGATACGCTCAAAGATTTCATTCTGAACGAAAACAGAAATTGTCCTTACTTCTGGATCAGGAGCGCTGGCGGCAAGTGGATATTCCCCACGAGTTTCAGAGGATTATCGAACGTATGGCCGCCGGGGACTATGCCAAACCGGAGATGGGTAACCTGATAAGCAATGGCTCGGGTAATCCTGTACTCTTGGTGGAAGGCAAACAACCATACACTCTGGTCAGCGCTTCACTGATGCTTATCCGAATGTTGTACGAATACGGTGGAAGTGCTCATAGGCTGCCTCTGCTAGCCAGTTATCATGCCAGGAATGTGGTGGACCTGCTACGATGTTTCAACTCACGAAGCTGCCAACTAATCATCGGTGCGGGAGCTATGCGGGTGGCTGGACTAAAAACTATCACTAGCACCAACCTAGCGCTTGTATCGCGAGCACTTCAACTAGTCCTTTGGCTGCTGCCCAAGCTTAAAGAGCATTTCCAGGCGATGAGTGGTTACGAAGCCATCGAGCGTGACTACCAGGGTCACATCAAGGAGATCGAAAACAAGATTCATGGGATTGTATCCGAGAGGTTAGCAGCACAACTGGAAGCATGGGAGGCCCGACCACCTATACCCTCGCAGACCTTCCGTCACATCTCCCGACATCTGGTGAAACTTCACGAAGCCATCGCCGGAGTTCTGCCAGAGGCACAGATCCACGAGATTTACAGCGTGGTACATCGAAACTTCAAAGACAAGCTGCGGGAACAACTTCTAAAGTTGAATGTAAACAACAATGGAGGTCCCCAGCACGGAGTGGTGACATCGGAGCTGACCTTCTACATGGAGACGCTGCGCACACTAAAAGCTCTGCCCGCCGAGCAGCTAGACAATGGGATTCTGGAGGAGATCTGGCTCTACTGATCATTCCCAAGTATTCCAATAGGTTGAAGCGGAAATCCTCCGACCGCCCAGCCCAGTTCGTCTTCATTGTTTGTTATCCTTGTTTTATTTATAGAAATTCAATTGTCGCGTCCATTCTGTCTATTTTGTTTGCTACTGTACATTGCTTGTACTTTTATTTTCCGCCCTACAACAGAAGCAAATAGAAAATGTATGTCTTTCGTTGCACATTTTTATGTAACACTTAAGCTTAAAGTCGATGAAGGCTTATGATTAAAGAATAGTAAATAATCAAAAACTCGTCGAAATGCCTATCTATCAATGGAGGGCTAATTTTAACATGTTCCTTTTGTTAGTATTATAACCTTTATTTCTATTTAAAGTAATTGGTTAGTTTATGAATACGATTGTGGATAATAAATAACCACATTTTATTTCATTTATTATAAATTCTGCTGTTTATAAGTTGTGGATGGATGTGGATCGTGGACGTTAGGAAAAACTATATTGCACTGTTTTTATTATTATATGAAATAATTATAAATTATAAATTTCATTTAATGAGAATTTAAGGGAATAACATTTGGTAAACCATTAAATAAATTCTATATAAAATTCAAATTTGGGAACTTATTCTTTACAAGAAATTCAAATTCATATTAGCCATTCACAGCGACTTTAACGGCTATTTTTTTCAGTAACATCGACAAGAGTTGCCAGACTGTAAAGGTTGCCAGTGGTAACCGTTAGAAATGCCCAACAAAACGCAGTAGTTACGTTTTTCTTAACTTTCCGTGCGATGCGCTTGCCGCAAATCTTTAACAGTCTGCAAAAGCGTTTTCAAAAAATGTTTGAAAAAAACAACGAGGGCGGCGACAGTGCCAAGCCCAGCATTCAGGATATTGCGGGTCGACTGGCGGAGGAGCAGCAGCGACTACGTCAACTGGAGGCCACTACGATGCCCAAGGAGCGGACACTTTTGGTACTCGGAAGCAAATGTGTGGTAAGTTTATTAAGTTACTTCCCAGCAAATAATAGTAAACATTATGAAACATTAGAAAGTAGAAAAATATGTATTTTTTAATATATAAAAGTTAAAAGATACATATGTTAACAAGATACATAAGCGATTAAAGAGTAAGCATTTATAGAAACAATGTTGGAAGATAATCATAACATTATTATTGATTAAAAATCTAAATTTCACCAAAAAAAACTTTTTTTTACCAACTTTTCAGGGCAAAACGACTGCTATTAACAAGTTCTTTGATCGCGAGGAACACTCGACGCGCCCAACTTTGGCATTGGAATACAGTTTTGGCCGAAGAATTGGCAGTGGAAAGACACCTCAAGTGATGAATGTTTGGGAATTGGGATCCCTAGACAATGCTGAGCAATTACTAGAAGTTCCTATGAGGACACATGGTCTGCAGCAACTAGCTGTCTTCATAATGTTAGATCTCTCGCAACCACAAAGATTTTGGACTGATTTAGAATGTGCCTACAAAGGGCTAAGGGATACGGCACAACAGATGATGCAGGACCTAACACCTGATCTCAGGGAGATCCTTGAGCAACGAACAGTGGAGCGAATGGGTCAGCAGAGCAAAGAGGATTTGGGAAATCGTGAGCCGCTGCCCTTTCCAGTAGTAATTGTGGGAGGCAAATACGATATATTTTCCGGCTTAGATCCAGCAATCAAAAAACACACCTGTCGCTGCTTACGGTCAATGGCTCACCTAATTGGTGGCGCATTACTATTCTATTCCCAGCGAATGCCCAAGCTGGCCAAGGTTTTAAGAGACACCATTAGCCATATGGGTTTTGGAAGTCCCGCTCATCCGTTCCGCTCTCATGTCGTGGACTTTAATGAACCTCTTTGCATTTGGTTTGGTACAGATAGTTGGTCAAAGATTGGAGATAGTGAAGTACAAAGTGTGGAGGGGATTGGAGCCACATTCGGGGTTGGAGTGCCACAATTAGAGCTGGAGAAGCAGAAGCTAGAGGAGACTCCAGATCCAGCAAAGGATCCTGGTTTCAAGGAGTCCCTCATCGATGAAATGCGATCGCAAAAGAATGAGGAACTAGCTGGTTTAATGAGGGATGTCCTCCTCCGTGGCAAATTCGAAAGTGTTCAAAATTAATAAAATGGTGGGATCAATCAAAGTTGTGTACCTCAAAGTATTAAAAAATAATAAATATTTAAATGATATAACATGATTTTTCTTATAAGTACATATATTCACCGTAGAAAGCTCAGAGTAAACATTCAATGCTGACGTATCTGCGATCAAAATCAAAATTACATATAAAGAATACCTTAACCTCTGACTGGTTTAAATGGATCCAAAAATGTCTACAACAGTCTCACCCAAGGCTCGTGTTATTAAAATTCTGAACCGGATTGGAGCCCGAGGTATTTTCACTGAAGTCCGGGTGCAGCTGGTCGACCAGCCCAAGATGCAATTTATGCGCACTGTCAAAGGACCCGTCCATCTCGGAGATATTGTCGACTTCGAGGACACCGAACTGACTTGGCAGTCCTCGCAGAAGAGCAAAAGCAACTTCGGTGATATTTGCTAGACTAGAGATCATTAATGAATTATCTAAAACTAACCTTGTTTAACAAAATATAATTAATTAATATTTGGGAAGAATTAATAAATTTCAATTTAGGGTAAGGCACAATCGGTCAGTATAAAAAGACGCGTGTATCTAATTTAGTAGAAACTTTGAATTTAAATTCCCTTGATTTCCCTAGTCTGGCAACGTCATTCCAGGGATGCGATTGGACTATTTGACAATCACAAGTTGTCTAAAAGTTTACCGTTGCGAAGGGCGAAATTTTAGCGTTCTCAACCCTTTGCGCTCTCGCTCTCCATCTCGCTTGCTCTTTTGGAGCGCTCAGTAGCTCCAAGCGGAAACCGGCAGCGACGCCGACTGCGCTGCTTTTGTTTCGGTTTGGATTTGGGGCTTTCAGTTATATTTCCAGCTCGGGCGCTCATTCGCAGTCAACTGCTCTCGCGTGGCAGAGCTCTCGACGCGCTCTTTCCTCGGCGGTCGTGTGTGTGTGTGCGTGCACGCGCGGGTGTGTGTGTGTCATCTGTTTGGTGCGAATTTTTTGGCAAAAACTCCAGTGCGAGTTGTAAGAAAAATTATAAAATTATGCCAGCCCATCAAAACATGAGAAACTTTGCTCCAGCCCTGAAACATTGTAATTAAAACCAGCTCAAAAAATATAACAGAAACAACAAAACCCCCAACTTCGCACCGTAAAGTTTCTGCGTTGTGTAATCAGTCCGAAACGGAGTTTCTCGCTTTGTTTGTTTTTCTCGGCTTTAATTTCGGCAACAACAAAAAAACATATTTTTAAATTGCTTTAAGCTTGCGGAGTTTTTGGTTTTGTACAGAAAAGCTCTGCTGGAACTTCAAAACTTGACAAATAAATCATCACAGGTGAGTAGGAATAATAAATTTCATAGCCAAGTACACACACACACGTATTGTGCTCCAATTTTGGTTGGTGGGTCACAATTGTAGAAAAAACAACAACTAGCATACCCCAAACACCAAATTATCGATTTTCTTTTGGGAGCTCCTTTTCTGGCGCTCTTTTTTTATATATTTTTTTCTGCGATTTTATTCCTCCACGTGAGCATGTATGCGTGATTGGTGTGCTTGCGTTTGAGTGTGTGTATTTTATCAAGAACAGAAACTGTTTTCCTGCAGCTTACCGTTAGCCGAGCTGTCGCATTTGCATTTTGTCACATTGCCAAGGCAACGCTACCCAAACGCCATATGGACGCGATCTGATACCCTATTCAGTTTACTATTACTTGTGGTATTTCTATAGTCCCATGGGTTTTGGCTACTTCCTTATCAAAGGTTGTTTTTTAATCAACATTTTTCTTAGTATGGAAATGAAAGATATAAAAGCATATCGGTGAAAGCTTAACAAATGGCAATGTTTTACATTTCTGAGACGCCGTCTTTCTTTTTTGTTATATTCTCCAATTAAAAAATGGTCAAGAAACAAAGGTTAATACATAAATATTTTTTATCCCATAGAAACTTTGTAGAATATGGCAACATATTTATGTACATAAGAGTATACAGATCTTTTACATACAGTAGCCACGATAATGGTTTAAAAGTCCTTTACCACTTGTTGTTTAAGTGTAATTTCACGCTTAGCGAAATCGTAAGGGTATTTAATGGCTGTCATTCTAGTTTTAGGCTTTTTATTCCATTTTGTTTTCCCTTGATGTTTATGCATGTTGGACCTGCGTCGCTTGCATTATTGGGATTTCTTCGTTTATTGTTGTTCCTTTATTTGGTGTTTTCATTATTGGCACGCTTTGCTGTTTCTTCTTTCTTTATTACATCCTTTGACCCCAATCGCAGTTTCGTTTTGTTGCGATCACCAAAACAAGCGAATAAGTATTGAAAACGCCTTCGAACATTGATGTCAACGCATTAGCCTCGTTCGTTAATAAATTATGGATGTTATGACTTCAGAATTTCGATTTAATCTGCCTTATTTGGATATATACCTACGCTTAGAATTTGAATCAGAAAAACAAAATCGTTAATTGCCCTGAAGCGTTCTATTTATTGGCTTAAAAAAATAACAAAGAAAATAAAATGCTTTAAAATTCACCATATTTTGTATCTTTGACCTGAGGGCGTGGAAACCAAAACGTATCTATGTGCCTTAGTGGCTCGCTTGTATGTGTGTGCGATGATTAATCATAATAATTTGTACTAAGACCCCTTAAACCATGCCGTCGGCATTGACTCTTGGTAACAGTAAAGCTCCTTTCAGTAACATGGCTTATGTTCATTTTGGCATTGGTTACTTTCGAAAAGGCTTTCAGCAAATACAATGACCTTACTTCATACATGTATACCATATATAATATACATATTTGTTAATACAGATAAAGCATGGCCAATGACTTGCACTCGAAAATGTTAATTGAACCATGAGAGAGCGTGTAAATTAGAACTTTGCCACATATACACGAAAAAAGGGGCGATAAAAAGAAATCTGCTAATTAACGCTTCAAAACTGGAATTTTAAACAAAAAGATAAATAATAAAAAAGTGTGAAGCGAAGATCTGGCAATCAAGTTTATTAAGAAGTTGAGGAAGGAGAAAAACAAGTGGGAGGGCGATCAGTTCAGAGCGCAATCAACATTTATTATTAAATGTCAAATATAATTTAAGATGGCAATTTGTCGCAGAACGAATTATTTCCCTTTTTGGTCCGCCTGGCAACTGAGATGCGATTGCGGGTAGGGTAGGGTAGGGAGTCAAGCGGAACAGATCATGCAAAATAAAAGATACAATTTGCATACAAGTTTATCTTATGATTTCAATTAAGGCAATGAAATGAAAGATTAGAGAATACACAAAGTATTTGAAGATTAGCTGGTGAATCTATAAATTAAAGTATGAGCTTTTTTAACTACTTTAGCAGCTAAACAGACTTAGCTACAAATTTTTTATTTTAACACTTCTATAATATAAATGCCTTTTCTTACAAAAACGAATATATCATCTTTATAAAAATATAAATTTTCATAATTAAATGATATTTTATCTTAATAAATGCAGTACGTTCCGCCTAATGCGAACTGATTAAATATAAAACACACAAAAAAAAAATAAAAGTTGATTTATAAATTCGTTAGTTTGGTATCATTCAAATTTTATTGAAGTAATTCTGTTAGAGTTTATTTAATAAAGATCATAATTATTACAATAAAGCATTCTTAATGCCCAAATAATTTACATCTTTTTTTGGGTAGCTATTCAGGAAAGAGTTATGTAAAATTTGATTACGGCAGAAGGGCTTTCGTTAAATATCCAACGTGTCTCTAACAAGTAATCACCTTCCGGATAGGCAAGTACTTCTGTTAGATGGTGATTGATCACGTTACTGGAAAGTTTGTCCACAATAATATCATGCTAAAAAGAAGTTAAATATTTTAGAATTTTTAATATAATAAATTAAAAAAAAATTATTAAATCCTTACATTATATGGACAGGAATGATTCATGTTTGTGGCTTCCTTGACAATGTCAAAAAAATATTTTGCAACCGGACTTGACTTCTGATGAAGGAAAAAATAACAAGCATCTACGGTTTGGTTATATAAGAAAGGCCTGTATCCATTAAATCGCTTGTAGAGTCCAAAATTAACCTATAAAAGAAGTTAATTTCACTTTAAGTTACAAACTTAAATAATGTATTTATGTACCTTAACTTTAGTAACTGGAAGGTTATGCAGTATCATCTTTCCCGAAATGTATTTGTAGGTTCGATTTACCGACTTTAAAGTACAATACTCAAATTCCGATGTATAATTATCCAATGATATACACTTTAAGTTAGTGAATTCCACTCGTGAGGTGATCTATATGTTCAGTTTTTTAAATAAAAATAAATTTAACATTTTCGATTTACTAACCTCTCTTATTATTAACAATAGTAATAGAAAACGGAATGATGTCATTGCGTATTGTATAGATGAACTTATTAGAACAGCAATCACTTTACCTTTGACTTGAACTAGTTTATTCAATTTAGTTTTGCTTTTTAATAATTTGTTTTGGTAGTTATTGATCAATGAAATTAGGTTTTAATGGGTTAATAATTAGGACTTCACGTGGCGAATTAAAGGGCAATGTAATTATTTAAAAAAAAATGTTAGCTTACTACAATGTTAAACAAAAATGTGCCACAAAAACATAATTACACATGAAAATCAGTCAGTCAAGTTTCTGAAATTGTCGAGTGTGTTGTGACTTTGCTTAAATTATATTGATAGGCCTTTTTCGATGGAAAATAGCTGGTAATATTATATATATAATAATAATATATTTATAAATTTAACCTTGGTTAACGCTTTACTTCTGAGTAATTTCGTTATCAAATTTACTCAAATTAAATCTGACATTATTGATTCAAAATTCGCTTATCTAACTGATACGGTTAAACAATAAAATCTGTTTTATTTCAATAAGTCCAGATTGCATTAAGCAATACATACATTCATATACCCTATGATCGTATTGTTTTGGTAAATTATAAATTTCATTCATTCACGGCCATTAAAATTCAATCAAGACGAGTCTTGTTTGGTTTATTTTTGAATAATCGTTTTTAGGGTAACAAATTTTAGATAAAAATTTAATTATTTTAGTCTCTGTCTCTATATGTATTTTAAGAAAGAGACAGGTACACCTGGACTATTATGGCTGGGTTGTCATTGAGTATCCAATGAGACTCTAACATGTAATTTCCTTCCGGGTAAGCCAAAACTTGTGTAGAATGGTAATTGATGATTTCAGTGGATAGTTTATCAATTATAATATCGTGCTAAAAGAATATATATTAATAATATTACTAGTTAAAATAGCAGCATAAGACCTTACATTATATGGACAGGAATGGTTGAGGTTCGAAACTCCCTTGATAATGTCGTAAAAATACTTGGCAACTGGACTGGCCCTCTGGTTCTTAAAGAAAGTGCAAGCATTTATGGTTTGATTGTACAAGAAAGGCTTATAGCCATTAAGACGTTTGTACAATCCGAAATTAACCTATAAAGTTAATAAATATTATATATAAAGCTTAAAATATATACCATATGTATGTACATACCTTTGCTCTGGTAATTGGAATTTGATGCAGCTTTATCTTAGCCGTTGCGTATTTGTAGGTTCGATTTATCGACTTCAAAGTGCAATATTCGAATTCAGCTATATCCTTGTTGACAGTGTCACACTTCAAGTTGGTAAACTCCACTAGAGAAGTAATCTATATATGTCTGTTTATTATTAAAAATTACATTAATTATTTTTGACCAACTGACCTTTTCCATTAGTAGCATAAGCACCAAAAAAGGAAATACAAATTTTGCCATAAGGTACATCGTGCTGTTTTGATGAACTTCGAAGAACTAAAATCAATTTGTGTTCTCTTTTGAATTAATATTTAAATTTAGTCATTTTTTGCCAATAAAATTTGATTTTAATGGTTTAATAATTATTGCTTCCAGTGGCGGATCATCGTTTTTTATACCCATTACTCGTTTTTTTTTTACTCGAACTTATTGAAAAAATCGCCAGCAATATTTTAAGCCATACTTACCTTGACTTTAGATTATTTCTTATTATTTCTTATCATAACCAAATAAACAGCAACCATTTGATAACTCAGAAAAAAGTTCAAGTCGTAGAACTAAGAGAATAAGGAAAACCTTTTTTTGGCGTTTTCTTTAATTTATTATCGACAAAGAATAGATAATATAAAGGGTAGATGAAAACCCCCGCTTTTGTCTCCTAAGCTAGGAATTTATTAAGATTTGAAATAAACGATTGCTTTTTGACTTTTCTAAAAGCATATTGATAAGCCTTTTGATTAAAAATTGTTGGTAATATAACAAAAATGTAATCGAAACGATGATATTGTTTTATTTTCGATCAAATTAGGTCTGATATCAAATGATGATTACCAAAGTTTATTTACATAACTGATTCGCTCATCTAACTGTTAATATTTTAAAAAGTGTACAATGTCAAAAAGCAGTACAGATATTAATATAGCCTATATAATTATTTTGGTAATTCATAAATTCAGTTCATTTATAACCATTAAAATTCAATCAAGGAGAGTCTGGATTATTTTTTATTATTATTATAAAATAACAAAAAAAAATCAGGAAAGGGACAGGTATACTTGGACTATTGCGGATGGCTTGTCATTTAATATCCAATGAGACTCTAGCATGTAATCACCTTCCGGGTAGGAGAGTACTTTTGTAGAATGGTAATTGATAATGTCAGTGGAAAGTTTATCCAGAACAATATCGTGCTTATAGGAATAAATATATAAAGAATATTAGTATTTAAAGGAATTTTAAAAAAGCTTACGTTATACGGACAGGAATGGTTAATGTTCGAGACTTCCTTAAAAATGTCGTAAAAATACTTGGCGACAGGACTGGCTTTCTGATGCCGTAAAAAATTGCAGCCATTTATAGTTTGATTGTACAAGAATGGCTTATAGCCATTAAGCCGCTTATACAAACCAAAATTAACCTAAAATAATCTTTAAAAATACAAACAGATAATGTCTATAATGGTGTTCTTATACCTTTGCTCTGGTAATTGGCAAGGTAGGTAGCTTTATCTTTGCCGTTATATATTTGTAGGTTCGATTTACCGCCTTCAAGGCGCACTGTTCGAATTCGACCATATCCTTATCCACAGTGATACACTTGAAGTTGGTAAACTCCACTCGAGAAGTGACCTATATTTTTGATTCCTGAATAAGAATTATGGAATATTTTGTATTTACAAACCTTTTTTATTATAAATAATAGCACCAAAAATCTAAGCAATATTTTAGCCAAAAAGTACATTGTGTTGCTTTGATGAAAGTAGAAGAACTAAAATCAGTTTACCAAAATAAATAAATAAATAGGGTTTTAATGGTTAAATAATTATAGCTTCCCAAATGGCTCAAAATATTAGCATTTGGACCAATTTTTGTTTTTAAACGGTCGGTTTATCAAATATATAATTATTTTAAGCTTGCTTTATAATATTTGCTAACAGCTCTTGCCATTCGTAAACGAACACAAACGAAAATAAAGTCAAGTCCTAACACTTAAGAAAATTAGGTAAAGGCTTGAAATGGTTTTTTTTTGGTGTTTTCTTTGATTTTTTATGGCCAAGGGATATATATCATAAAGTGGGTGGGCAAAAGCCCCCGTTTCTGTCGCCTAAGCTGCGACTGTTTGTCTAGGAATTTATCAAGATTGCGACCAACGTAGCTGCTTGCCATTGGAAGCATCAGCAAGAACACACAGCTAGACGGGCAGGAACAAGCTTCTTTGTCATGCGAAATGCTCGTAAATCTAATGGCATCTGCGAGATACAAAGATACATTCGCCGAGCGCGCATTATGTGCATAAATATTACAGATGCGTCTTCGCCCCCACCATCCAAATGTCATCTGTCATTGGAAATGCAGAAAGGCCAGGATGGCGTAATGTCAAATGTCACTAAAGGATAATGCAACATTATAATACTGGCTGATCGATAATGCATATGTTAGCTGGTTAACTCGGGGGAGTTGAGAAATACATATGATTCATTTAAAAAGTTCCCATAACAATAAAAGGCAGAATAGCACCCAACTCTTACCCTTAAAAACTTTTCAAATCTACGATTGCATTAACTTTTCATAGCGGAAACTTAAAGTTAACTTAACATTAATTAACTGCTCCCGTAGCATGACCGGGACTGACCCTTCCTTAACCATGTTCAGAGTACAGAACCAAATGAAATCACTGCCCTGTCCCAGAAAAAAGGTAACCCAGTTCCGTGGAGCACAATGAACTGAACTGCAATCGCCGTGAATGTTGGAAATGGGAAGCTACTGCAGTCGCAGCTCACTGAAGCATCAAACGACCAGAAGGTGACTTAAAGCTGCTACCCGGAGCCTTGAATCAACAACTTCCGATTCCACTCCACACTATTGCAATACACACCCCTTCCACTTCATTCCAATCCGTCCCGCAATTGCATTCTGTGTGCGTGCTGAGTACGAGTTCGAGTATCTGGTAGATACGTACGTTCTGGCAGTCTCAGAGCTCCATGGTCATAAATGAGCAACCAAGCACGACAGCAGCGCGGCATCGACTGACATCCCACTTAGAGACTGAATGTGCTCCACCCGTAAATCCACATTTACGCTTCTTTCCCCTGTCACCCACGGATGCAGACCCGATCTATAGCTTCGTCGGTTGACAAACGCGAAGTGTGCATAACTTTTAGTAGAGCATGAAAAATTAAGTTTAATTCGATTGTAGGCAGTTCCCAGATGGCTCTTCGTCCATTCCATCCACCGGTTGACGATCTGCCTCTCTGCCGGCTGGGTGCAGTTTCGTTCGCCTGGCAATTAATGTGTGATAATTAAATTGTGATATCAGCTGAACAATTTACCAATTAAAGCTGCAAAGAGTCGCTGATGATGATGATGATGAAAGCATAAAAAACTCTTGGCTAGTAGGTGGGAATGCTCATCAAGATGAAGTTAAAGAAATATATTAAGAAAATATTTGTTAAGGGTCTTCTTTGTTTAGCAACATTTTGGAAGCCTAATAATTGTATTATTAACCTTCTATATAGTCATTTAATCAGTTTTCAATGTTTTTATATTTCCCATTTAAATAGGTTTCCTTAAGACTCATCCTCTTAAGACCTGACCTACCTTAGAAGTTTAGCTGTTCCCTTGGTTCCCACGTCCTTCATTTTCTCAACGTAACTCAAACTGAACTTCCTTTCCTATTTTCCCACTACGTTAGTTCATGATCCAGCTAATGAGCAATTTAGCAGGAGCCGCTCATTCACATCCTCGACCGCCATCCTTTCGCTCGCCAGAAAAGGCAGCGAAGCGTTAAGGCAACTGTCTGGCGGGCAAGGATAATGCCACAGACACTTGAGCTGGGATGTGCTTAGGTCAAAAGGCATGAGTTCTTGCCGAGGGAAATGTGTTCTCTGCCTAGAAAATTTGCATGTTTTGCACAATTTCTCGAGCAACCCCCTTGGCTAGGTCGGCGCCCAATCAGTGAGATTAAATTTTTGGTGGTGACTGCTTATACTTTATGAGCAATTAATATGTCAGTTAGCGGCTTGGACAGATTGATGGGGATGGTGTTGGCTCGATTCCGAGCCGAAAATGAAAAGCAAACCAAAGCAATTAGATGGGGAACTGTCAACGGCAGGCACGAACTGTCTGAAACTTGGAAAGTTTTCCTTCATTTTCCTCAACGTGGCTCGTGCTCGGCACGTTTTTGCATGATTTCCGGCACACCCTGTGTTCGATTTTCCATGCCGGCTTGCTGGGGTTAACAAGGACACTCCCTGGCATTTCATAGGCCGCTACGAGCGTGCGGCACATTATCCTTAAGCGTCGCCGCGGCACAGCGCTTGTCTTTATGTCCCAGCTACAAGTGTAAATGCTGAGAACAGCTTTTTTTCCAGCTCCGTGACCCTTCGTTGTTTCTCTGGAGAAAGAGCAATTGGACTTTGGGGGGAGGTGTGTGGGTTGAGAATCAGGAGGTGGCATTGGCGCGTGTTCTGCCCAACAAGTTCCCGTGGGAATTGCCAAGAATCTCATATCGTGGGCGTGCGAACAAATTTCTGTACCCATTTCCTGTGGCTTGACTCCTTTGGCAAATGTCAAACGGGATTTAGTAGGGTTGATTTGGTTTGATTCTAAGGTATTTTCTCTAGATTTTCGTTAGGGAAGAAGGTTATTATACTTAGATTTCTTTCATATATCAAATATCAATGAGCTTACCAAGAATAAAACCATAAAAAGAAGGAACCTCTTAATCCCTATCGATTTTTCATACCTTAAACTCCCGAAGATTTTCTTCCTTCTCCTTCTTAGGTCTTCTTTTTTGATTTGTTTTTCTTAGCCAATAACCAAACTTTATCCGGCCAATCAATTTCCATCAATTTCACCTTATTCGTTACCTCCATTCCTTGAGCTGAATTTTATTCCTGGCCAGAACGGTGAGTTCTTGTTCTTTCCACTGAAACCAAGAAAAGCAATTGCAAAGATGAGAGGAAGCAAATTTAAAAGCCAACACCCACATGTGGCACGAATATATGTAGGAAAGACATAATACACTTCAGCCCAATCAACCTACAGGCAAAATGAAAAAAAAATATATATATATAAAGATAGAATTTCAACAGAGAGAAGAACTTTAATGGACATCCGGCTTTTATTATGCTTAGTCTTATTATTATTGTTGTTTTCCACCTTGAAGGTGTGTTCTGCTGCTGATGACGAAGAGGAAGAAGCACCTCAAGTGCAATTGAAAAAGCCAAAACCACAAAAAAAGAACAACAACAAAAATAGAAAAAAACAATAATAAAAGCAACTACGAATGTTGATATTTGCGTTGGCAAAGGAAATGTCTTTGGCGTGGTCGAAGTTTAGATGGAAAACGAGAAGGAAAATCCAGAAGACAGTAGATATGGCTTTTAAGAATGAGATGGGGGCTTACAGAGGAGCTGGAGACTGTTTGCCTCATTAAGTGGCTGACAGCCTTTGGTTTATGGTCTTTTCGACTAGATGGAGGATTAGCAGTTGCAAAACTTTTATACTATGTTGGTGTCTTTGGCACTTTTGCGGGGGTGTCGGTGTTTGGCGTGGTCTAAAACAAGTTTTAGGCGCCTTTACGGCCATCATTAATCTTGTGGCATGCCCGGCAAAAGCATAGAACACCAATAAACAGGGCCACGCCTTGGCGAGGTGCTCGACTTGGATGCCTTTTTTTCCTTTTCTTTATTGATTCACTTGCGGGGGCTTGAAATTTACCACCATTCCGTTGTACAACTGTCGGGTGTAAATTTAGCTAAAACATGTTTCCTTCGTTAAACGGAATAAGTGATAAGCTGATTAATTTTAATGGCAATTAAACGTCGTTTGATGGAATACAGGAAGTGTAATGAGATAGGAAATGTAGGGAGGAGAGGAACATTGAACCTTAGGCTTATTTCTATAATTAATTTGAATCCTATCTCTTGATTTTACAAATTCAGTTTGTCAGTCTTCTGATAAACTAACTTAAAAAAGCCTTTCATTTTTTCTTTCAATAACTTAAATATCATACAACTTCTTCGTTAAGAAAATGAGACATTTTTTTAAGTTCTCCTTATAGCAAAAATCCTAGAAAGACTTTCAAATTTCCAGTCTCCTGTCTGAAAATACACACAATTTGACATTTGCTTGAAACATTTTCCCCCTGCCATCTCTCAGAAGGTAAAGTGAACTTCATGAAGGGAGAATCTGCAAGTCAGAGAAGAAAAAAAACGAAACGAATTGCATTAATGCAATTTTAGCATCTGAAACCGTGCTGAGGAAAAACTAAACGGGCACGTTCCAATTGGTGTCCGCGGTCGTTGTCAGCATTCTGTGTCTGCATCTGGATCTGCATCTGCATCCAGTGAGGAGACCCAAATGGAGGGGGGACAAATGGACATCCGACATGCGAGCCCGGAGTCCACTGGAATCGTTCCAAGTTGCCAGCGCATGACTCCGGCTATGGTAGTAGTGAACAAAATAATAAAGAAAAGAAAAGAAAATGAGAAGAAAACTGGGGGATATCTGATGAAGAAATGTTGTAAAATGGAATTGCATTACACACACTTTAGGTGCCATTTGTGCCTCTGAGGGAGAGTGGGTAGTAAGAAAAGCTGAAGGCAAAGCCATGAAGTTGATGATGCGCCAACAAATTGGATGCGTAATGGTTAAGCGAGAGCCGAGCCACAATTGAGATATTTATAGTTATGGCCAATAGGGACTTGGCGGTACTCCCCTTTGGCTGAAATTTCACTCTGTACCACCACCTAATGGGCGAAAGTTGGCTTGCTTAATATTTCTAGCAGGCATTAAGCTAAGCTGTAAAATTTCTCACTAACTTTGAAACTGAAATCTTAAAGGTCTTAATGACCTGATACCTGACTCCGCTCTGTAACACAATCTGTAAACAATTTGTTCAGAAAACTAATTAATAGCTATGGAAATATTCAAGGCAATTTCCCGGAATTTAATCTGGAAATATTTTCACTGGCATTCCGAACTGACTGTGCCCTAGTTAGTTAGTGCACGGGCGTTATTAAATTAAATTCCAATAAAATTGTGTTTCGTTCGCACGCTGCTCTCGCGTACTCACCCCTTCAAGGTTTCGGTGTCCTCTAATGCTGGTATTTATTTAATTTTTTTTACAGCAATCTTCTTTTTATTGCCTCTAATCCGTTAAATGCTTTTTAATTGCATCTGCAACCTTATCCCAGGGACACTTGAAAACTCTGTTTGGATGGGCAGAGGCAGGGAAAGTGGGCGGTTAGGTAGAAAATATGGTTTGGAAAAGAGGGTGGTTGGAGGGTTGGAAAGGCGTGAGCAACCCCAGGCTAATTGGTTGGGCGTGAAATGTGTGTGAGTTTAATTTTTTAGATCTGGGAAAACTGTCATCCCCTAAAAAAACGAAGGACCCCTACAATTGTAGCTCTGTGGGAGACGAAATTGATAAAGAATGGAGATGCAATCAGCCAAAGTAAACCACTTTTTAAAGGATTTGGAAAAACATTAGCCGCAAAATCTACTTAAGCTAGGTATGATAGGCAAACCTCTTTATAAGATTATTGATTTTGGTTAATATAAAAGGGCTTACTAAGGCACATTAGCTTAGAATAACATATGCTTTAGCAATCCTATATATTATCTTAAGCATGAATCAAAGGCTTGATTTTTCAAGTCATTACTATTAGGGTTTAGGAAAACTTTAGTCACAAAATCTGCTTAAGCTAACTATGATAGGCCAATAATAATAAGAGAAGCTACTAAGGGTCATTGACTTAAATAATAATAAATGTTTCATATATATATATTAATATAATATTATATAATATATGAGTTTTATAAAAGTATTTTGATTCGGGAATAAATTTTCTCAGTGCTTTAACTTTTAGCCACTTTAAGCTTAAGTTCATTCAACCGCAAACCGAGCTTAGGCTTAAACTAAAAGCTCTTTCACCTGCCCGACACAGCTTTTAAGCCCTCGAGCCACTCAAGTTTTGCGGCTCATCTCGGCGACGTCTCAAGAACCCACTCAAGAAATGCTCATAAGCCCCAAGCTAAAACACACATGTTAATATTTACTCGGCCAACTGTAACAGCTCGTAAATCTAAGGGCCTTGTGCTAATATGCACACATACACATACATATGTGCGAAGTATGCACATGCAGTTTTAAATTAAAAACAAATTGTGAACACGAGACTAAAATGTTAGAGACAACATGACCCTAATGACCGTGGGAACTTTTTTGCAAACGTCACTGACATTGTCAGCTGAGTGGCCAGATGTGTATGTGTGAACTTGGTGAGCAAGCTCTTAAGTTCTTATTTTAAGAGAGGCTTCAGTTGGAGAATTGCCAGCATAAAAATGTTTTTGAAATTTTGTAACGGCAACTGAACTGGGAGGGTTGTATTTGAGAATATGAAATTTATGCTTGTTATTTTAATTTAAAAGTAAATAAGATTTGAAAAATTGTATTTCTAATTAAAAATTGTTTCTTTCTTTCATTTCAGCTTTTCCAGATTCAATTTTGAAACTAAAGGGTAAGTAATTTAACATAAATTAATGAGAGAGAAAGAAACAAGTGTGATTTTTTAACAAAACATATTCTAATTCCCAAAAATTATAGCGAACATAAACAAATAAAACAGAACTACGAAAACATAAAAGAACCCTTTTAAGGATAATCATCGAAACCAAAACCCTCTCAATTGATATTCCATTATGTATTACCCTTTTTGAATTGTCGCCAAATTGTTTCGATTATTGCCCAATAATTGATTTGTTAATCTTCTTGTCTGAAAATGGAAATCCTAAACAATTGACCTAACAATTTGTATTGGTAATTGGCTTCTTAATCGCAATTACAGGCCAGATTGGGTTCAATTCGAGTGAATTGGATTGATGATTGCATGGGCTTGGATTACTCATGCTAACCTATTTGAGCGTATTTGTTGCCATTTTGTGAGCCTTTCAATGCTGCATTTTGCGCATTTTGATTGAATTTTTGATTAGGTTGCACATATGGCTTTTGTCTGCCCCCTCAAAACCCCATTGACTGACATTGATTTCTCAGCTTGTGGCCATTTCTCTATTTTCTCCATTTCCCCAAGCTGCTTCTTCCGCTTTACCTTTCCCATTGTCTGACATTATCTTTTGTCTGCACATTCCAGCGGTGGTGGAGTTATTTGTTAGCGGTGGGCGGTTGATGGTGTATGGGCGTGTCTGGATTCCAGGGTCTATACATTACTATAGCAGTGCTAGCTGTTTTCATTATGGTTTATCTGAAAGTGTCGGGCAATGACTGGTATGGCTTTAACACATTTAACACGTGGAAAAAACTGCATATCATCGAAGGTGGTTAAAGTTTTAATTAGTTTTCAAGATAAAGAGATAATGATTCAGAAAATTTGATATCAGTGAGCCAGTTACTTGATAAATTTAAATAGTTCACAATTTACGATTTCAACAAAGTCTCCACTTTTTAAAAATAAGTTTGATGGTTAAATATTTACCTATATATATATTTAATACCCGTAACAATTACAATAATTGTCATGTATGAATGCAGTTTCTCTCAGTGTATTTCTTACTTTTTTGCATCGATTGCACCAATTTGTTTTTTCCCCCATTTAAACTGCGATAATGTTGGCGTGATTGGGTGGCACACGTATGTAGGTAGCAATGGTTTGTTCCCAATAGTCTTGATACCATTTTTTTTACTACCTGATTTTTATGTGCTACCTGGATTAAAGCCGCTGCTGCATTGCAATTTTTCGCACGTTTCATTGCTAGAAACTCTCTCTTATTTTCTATTTACTGCGCTCTCACGCAAACTCTTGAAGATTTATCTATTTTTTGGCATTATCTATTTTTCTCTTTAGTTGGGACTTTCTCTTAAAAAGCAAACAACGACCTTGCTTCGTGCTCTTCGATTCTACGGTTTCCGATATCGCAATTCGATCGATCATTTTGCCATTGTTGTCACGGAATTTAGGTTGGGCAACTAATTCAAATCGATAAGTTCAATACATTGATTACCGAGCCTTGATTACTGTTCAGTTAATCAGTTTTCATTCTTTTCATTTGTTTTCTTTACATTTTTCCATTGGCATTTCATAACCACTTGGCCATCATTTGCGTTGAGTTCAACTTTGGCACTGTAGATAACTCTCTTTAATGACTCTCTTGAGTGCCATAATCACTTCCATTCAGACAACTCGCTCTCCATTCTCCATTGTGGAACAAAAAAAAAAAAACTGGCAGCTGCAGAACCAACGAAACCAACAACTGGTTTTGAGTGCCCTTCTATCGATAGATTGGGGGCTATCTGAAATAAAGATTTGGCAAAGAAAAATATGTTTTACAATCCATATGTTTAAATTGGAATTTAAATATGGAAAATTGCTGAAACAAAAAGTTTCTAAATTAATCACTATTGTTTATATTATATAATCACTACATTATAGCCTCTTTAATCCGTTAAACTTAAATAATAAGAAATAAATCCCCGTCTGCCAAAACTGCACATCTGGTCTCTTTCGAAGAAACAATTTGCAAAATTTTTATAAGTAATTAATAATCCATTTTCTTAAACCTAGCTTAGTAAATATGAAGACGGGCTCGTCTTTTCCTAGAATTTTCCCATGACTAAGCCCAACCGCAAACCTCTTAAGCCAAAGATCAGCAAATCGCGATCTTCAAATGCAGCGCATTTGAGTTTGTACCTAGCCTAGATACAATTTACAACCTTTCTCGTTCTTTCAACTGTAGTTATCTTTGTCGCACTCTAGAAAACCTACAAGCTGCAGCAAAGCGTCGCAGTTTTATCATTATCACAACAAATACAAACACAGGAGAGCGGAGGTGAGATGGAAGAAGCAGAACCAGCCGACGGCGTTGTTGGTAATAAATAAACCAAATGGAACTGAGAAAATCCTCAAACGTGCTCTTACACTGAAAAAAGTGCTATGGGGTTTAAAATTATGAGAAACGAATTATTGCAGTTTGACAGAAAATTAAAAAAATAAACAATTTAAAATACATAATAAATCTAAAACTAATTTTTGATATTCATAGATGGCTTAGATGGATTAGATTTCTAAATAGGATCTAATTTTCTCCCAAGATTTAAAAAATATTGATCATTTTGATTTTAACAGAATGGTTTGTTCTTAAAGATTCTGCAAATCTTCGATCATATAACTTCTTCCAGTCAAATCTTAAATATTGAAAATAAATTCTTTAAGAATCTCTCGCAGTGCTCAAAACGCACACCACCAAACACCCCTGCAACAGCTGTCGCTCTCTTCTGCTCTTGGCACGCTCACTCTCTTCACTCGCAACGGCGGTGAGCGATTGTACCGAGTCAGCACAGTACAGTAGAGCAATTTGAGCCGCCGAATCGAGCTAACCGCTTACCGCTTGCCGGACAAACGCGTTCCGTTTTCCCTCCGCTTCCATTCGATTTTGGCCACTGTCGTCGTCGGTTGTCGAAATGTCCGCGTGAAGATAGTGTTAACCTTTTCCACTACCAAGGGGCGGGTCATAGTTAACATTTAAAGTTAGAAATCCTTTGGGCCAAAACAAAAAAAGCGATCCTAACCATCCATCCATCCATTTACCGGGGTCTCTTTACGGGGGATCGTTGTGCGTTTTTTATCGGTGTCACGTTGTCGCTTTTTCGCTATGAGTGCTGTGCTGAGGTGTTCTTGGAATCCGAAAAAAAATAATAAATAATAATAATAGTTAAAAGCAAAAACGTTGGCAAAAAATCCACTGAATGAGCAAGAAAGTTATATAAGGCCCGAACCGGATTTATTTATTTAATTATACATACAAATGTGACCAAAACAAAAACAAAAAAAAACAGACTGACAACAAAACACGGCTTTGGGATATATACTTAAACCGTAAAACCAACCAACCAACTCAAATACAAACCGATCCCGATATATATATGGTAAATGTTTAAACACAAAAACAAAAAATACAACTACAAAAAACCAGTAACAACAGCCCAAAGTTGAGCTTGACTTAAACTTTGGGGCTCAGGCCGAAGTCAAAACGAGTTTTTTGTTGTGCAAAATCAGATTTGCATATATGTAATTCTTCCACGGCCATGTTGTTGTTGCTTTGACATTTGTAAAAACATTAAATAAGTTTTTTGTAAAAATTTCAGTTCTTGACGTCTTCAATATGCATTTGTTTAGAATACTTTTAGCAGCTGTCCAAACTGACATAGAATTTCTATTTATTTTCAAATTAACAAACGTTTACGAAAAACATTACTCAATGTGAATAATCAGGGAGTATATTCCCATTAACTTTATATAGATGCTGGCAATTTGGAATAAATTACTCAGCTAAAAACTCAATAAATCTCCACAGTTTGCACTTGAGAGGAGGGTTAACAAAGGAAATAAATAGAGACAATTTGCAATTAGCTGCTTTTGGCCATATCACATGAACGTATATATATATAATATATCTCTAAAAGTTACGATTGACTGGACTCAAATCGTCTCCAGTCTCTCACGTCTGTGTGCTGATGAATCATTTGCCATGACTAAACTCTATAAACATTAGAAATTAATCATGTAAATGTTTTGATCTTACGTTTTTTTTTTTTTTGGAAATTTAAAAAACATGATCCCACAGTTTATAGTTTTTAAAGTTATATGTACTCACCACAAGCGTTTTCCCAGCCCTTTTGTCAAGTTAATTTATTTTAATGTATACTGTGTGCCAAATTATTTGACTGTCAACTGCATAAATTACAACGATAACAAACAAACCGAAAAAAAAGAAAAGTGGAAAATGCAAAATGGGGAAAATTTCCCATTGAAATGAGTAATGAATTGGGCTCTGGGGCGGGTGAGAACGAAACCAACTGAGAGTGGGTGAAAATATATTATAATTACAATGTAATTAAATGCCAACTTGGCCCCGACTTTCACCGCAAACTATGGGATACTTTTGCTTTGCATATTTATGCTCTTGAAGTTGATTTACTTGGAATGTTCTTGAAGATCTTGAGGTTTTCCACTACCAAAGGGCTGGCTCCCCCTGATTTATGCTGCATTTTTTGGTAACAACACAGCCAAGCAGCAAGTACCAAGCAGCCTGAGTAGATTATAAATCTCAGCAGTTCATAAAAACTTCAGGCTCAAAAGCTCCAGCACAAAAACCATTCAGAAAACATTCCAAGAAAAGCATGAACAAGAAAATTAAAAAAGAAAAAACTGGTAACAAGCCAAGGCAAAAAGTAAGAACATAATGCTACCTGGGTGCAGTTGGACTTGAGTTAAGCCAACTTTTCGGGCTGGAGGAGCCGAGTCGAATGGAACCGGTTTGGTAGCTGGCTGCTGCCTCCAGCCGCCGCCAGCCGTCGAGTCCAACTTTTCTCACATGCCTTTCGATTATGCCAAGCCGACGACTGCATTCTTCGAGACGCGGCTTTCGCTAAACGTTTGGCTAAGACTACCAAGTCCAGCTCCAAGCAGCTCCCCATCTTCGAGCTCCATCCCACTGCACAAGTTCAACAGAGTCCCGGAGAGAGAGACCTCAACTTCAACTTGATCGCTGTTGCTTCGGCTTTGGCTGCATAAAACTTTAATTTCATGGAACTTCCTTTCTATTTTTATGCAGCAACGCAGATGATTAACAACAGCAGCGGTTAAGAGCCAACAAAGAGAGACGTTGGACAAGTCAAGAACACGGGAACAAGTCCAAGACCAACTCCAAGTCATGGTGGCTAGCAAGCCAGCTAGCTGTTGCAACTTCTTGGGCCATTAACTTGGCTTTCGAGAGTCGGGACAATGCGGGGATATCTATCCCCCCCATTGGGGTCCCTGACATTCTACATTCTGCATCTAAGGCAGGAAATTAAAAATGCAAAAAATTGGATAATTATGCATGTAAACGTTTTGTCATTAAGTTGATACTTAAATGCGGCTGCTGCGATTATCAGGCATAATTTTTTATAGCAAATTTTTGCAATTAATGCACCTGGAAAGACTAGAAGGGGGGTTTTCTTTTGTAGCTACCTCCTCTATAGCCTAGAAAGTTAGCCAGCAAATTACAATTATGAACTTGAAAAGGTATTTGAGAGTTTTGTAACCTTCTTATTCATTCTTGACATTTTCTTGGCCTGCTAATAGCTAACTAGCCGTGAACCTGAACAGCAAACATTTCGCATTAATGCCAAAAACTTTTCTCGCCTCTCGAGGGCTTCGACTTAATCGACACGCTAAGTTGGTATAATAACTTGGCCTTGGCTTTTGCTACTGGCTAAAATGGCCCAAACCGCAAAGGCCTCAGAATGTCAAAGGGCATGTCTGAATATGATTACAAGTAGAAATCACTTGGCTTCCCTTTTTATTTATATAAGTTCAATTTCCGGTCTGTCAGTAACTAACTGAAACTTTGATGAGGGATTAAGCTTATATAGGAGATAGTTTGTCAGTTTCAGTTTGAAAACAAATTAAAAAATGTCAATATGTTAAGTTAATTACTAGCTGCAGTTGATGTAAGATTCAATTAAAAAACGTTTTGGTATAGTTAAGCCATTCTGGTTTATTAGACTTTAATGAATAAAGAAAAATAAACTGATTTCGGGTTAACATTAGTAAATTGATTTCCTATATATTCCATATTGAATTTGCGTAGTTCTTATAGATGTAATTACTGTAGCTTTGATAACTATCCTATCGCCATCATAATACCTAAATAGAATGTTTATTTACCTGGGCCAAATTCTTTGATGTCCCCAAAATACAGTTGGCACACCTGTTCACCTGGCTTAATAGGGAAAATAAGGCGGAAATTCGCTACATTGTTACTACGCCCACGCGACACTAGGATGGCTTCTTTTTGGCCGAGACTATTATATAGGTTGTTTGTTTAGTTTCTTATCGATTATTTTCATTGGTTGTTTGCACTGCCTACTTTTCGGCGCTGGCACCCGGAAATTGCTAAAGCAATTGGCCAACAGCTGCTGTTTGAATGCCTATTTACCTGGAATCAACACAGAAAAGCGTTGACAAATGGAATACAGAGGGTGGAAAACTAACGTGGTTACACTATTGTGAGCCATAAAATTGATTTGCCTCTTTTACTAACTACCAACTATGGCAATCAGAGCAGAGAATGCCACTAGGAAAAGTAGTGGGAGATAGCTGTAGTTTTGGAAAATTGTCAAGCTTGGTTGATTTTCCACACCGTCCGTCTCTCGCAATTCAGCGAATTGAGTGAGTGGACCACGAAGTTGCCTTCCCGACGACCTTTACCGTCATAAATCGGTTGGATAATCATCTAAACTTAGCAGTTATCTAAACATAGTTGCCGGTGATGTCACGTAGCTTTCCACAAAACTTGTAAGTAATCAAAGCCTCCTGTTTCTCGCTTATCAGAAAGTCACTCGACGTTTTTTAAAAATCCCTTTCCCATTTTAAATCTGTCAGATAAAAGAGGTCTTCAGCCAGTTTCTTCGTTTGCTTTTGTCTGAGAAAGAAAAATATTACATCTTGTGTACTTTGATTACACGAGTTTTTCTGAAGATCAGCAGTTGGATAAATACTTGGAAGATATATAGTGCCACCAAAACAAGGCTCGAAATCTTGTTTTATAATCTTATACTTATACTTTTTTTCTGCCTTATTTAAGCTTTTGTATCCAGTTTCAGGGGTATGCTTATAAATTCAGTAAAAGCATTGAAAAAATTCAAATTAACTTTCATGTGGAAGTTGCCTTAGGAATTTGTTTTCAACGCATAACAAATTCTTGTGCATATCAAAGTAGTTCTTGGAAATCCCCAGTGATTTTCCTCTCTCTCTCTCTCTGTCGGCTTTTCCTGGCTTTATGACTTCTGAATGCATAATGATAAATGTGCTTTGGTTAAATGATTTGTTGTTGAAATTTTCTTTTTGTTTTTCCATCTTCCACCTTGGCGTTATTCAATTGCATATTTTAATGGCATTAACGTGTTGTTGGGCTTGGAAACAGGTTCTTCGGAAATTTCGGATATCTTTTGTTAAGTATGCCAATGTGAGTTGAGTCATCGTAATATCCATTTGCATAATGGTTGTAAACAAAACTTGTAAGAGTAGTTCGCAGAAAAATATTTTACGTATATAAAAGTGACTGGGTTCGCTTGTGATTAGCTCTTAACATCTGCCAGCTGGCAAACAACAAGGATATCAATGATCTGCGATCATTCTGTTAAGACACGAACCAAAAAGGGAATCCGTTTACCTGAAAATCGTGGCAAATCGAAGTCACTATGTCGAGAACAGGAACAGGCGGCAGCATGTGTGAGAGAACGATTCACCACTTAACTAGGCAGGACTCTTGAAGAATCCTTCGTGAATCCTTAGCCACGTGCAGTGAACATATGGCAGGATCCTTGGGTAAGCAACCAGAGAGACAGAGAGAAGGAGAGAGAGACAGGAAACCGAAACAACAACTGCTGGGTCAGCAGCGGCTGCATTCGTTTTCAAAACGACAGATGCAAACAATTTCGAAGGTTTTTTGATGTTGTTACCCGCTGGAAATGTTTTCACCGTTTCACATGTCTCGTGTTCGCCAGCACAGAAGAAGATTTCTTATAAGGTATATTATTAATACCTTTCGTAGTATATCCCCATTCTAAATACACACATGTATATGGCTCGCAGGCGTGCCTATTGTTTTTATTTTCCTCTCTGCCTGCATTTTTACTTCCGTTCGTTGGGTTTTTGAGGTTTCTCTCAAGTGTTTTCTGCTGGAAATTCACGTATTGGAGTTTGTTTTGTCAAAGGACTGTGTGTATACTGGGGGAAATTTTACATAAAGATTGCCTTGTTGTTTGTTTTTCAGATATATATATGAATATTAAACTGTTCCTGGGAAGGAATTTCAAAGATATATGCCCTAACTTTTAGCTCTTGGATATAAGGATAAATAAATAAACTCTTTAAAGGA